AGAGTTGTGTCTTCCCGCGGTGCTGCGCCAACAAGATCAAACAGTGAAAGCATTGGAACTTTTGAGATACAGGGACGCGAAGGCGTTCCCACGTCGACTCTGTGAGATGCTTTCGACTCTTGAGACTTCCTATCCTCCCTTGAAATCAGATGTCCATGCGCCGCCTCCCAAAAGGGCGTAGAGAAGTGCAATCAGTCCCCGCCGGTGCCACCAATGGACGAACTGGAGACACCGACTGGGTGCCATTTGAAGAACATTGTTGAAATGAACAACGTTGGTGTTGAATTTCTGGCTGTGGGCAAATTGGAGAGGGCAATCGCCTTTTTCAGGGAAGCCCTGAAGGCTTTGAGCTCCAACATCGGTGAATTCCAATCAGAGGCACAGCAAAACAAAGTCAACAAGTTCGGGCCAGAAGGCAAAAGCGTGCCTCCTTGTTACAAACCTCACCGACTAGAAACACAAGCCCGCGCCAAAGTCTTCCGCAGATATCATGCAAAGACAGCGAAAGGGTTCGGCAACAGACGGTATCGGTAACGTTTTGGAGAGGATGTTCTAATTAGTTTAGTTGCTTACTTATTAATCCAAAGTTTAGTCATGCTTTGTTCAAGAAGCATAGAGAGCTCTGCATCATTGTCGCTGTCGCTGGCCACAGCGCAATCACTGGCCACCGACTGGCTGTCATCGGCAAGGACCTCGGCATTTTGGTCCATGGTTGGCTCCATAGTCACCTTTGCGTCCTTCTTGTTGCTTTGAGTTGCCGCTTCGGCACACAAGAACGCCTCCAACACGCCACCTTCGATCCATCCTTCTTTCTTGAGCACCTTGACTGCATCGGTCATATTGACGGAGAAATTCTTGAAACATGTGGCCCGGTTGCGTCGACGATCGTGTTTATTGTGCTTGATGATGGCGGTAGAAGCCTTGGCCCTGGTGGCGGCAATTGCTTTCTTTCCGAGCTTTCTTGGATTGGTCATGGCGATGGTGCTTCTAAAGAGGACGAACGAAAGCAAGCAACTCAAGTGGATTGTGCGTGGTTCGTTTCTCTCTGCTTGTGTGCCCACGGTCGGTCCATCAAGGAATTAATAGAACCAACGAGACTATCCTCGTACCCTCGCCGGAAGCTCAACGTTTCGTTCCCGGCGGGACGAGTTTTCGATGCCCTCACGCTGTGTGCTAACGGTCCTTGCCGGTCCAGAGGAGCTTGCCTCTTCCACGCTGACCAATGAACCCTACCGTACTAGTACCAGGTATATGGCAAGCCTGCATAAGCTCAATGCTGAATGCTGCAAAAAAGTATCGGGCTTGCGCAATCAAAAGAAATCCCCACGCTCACTTTGGAGATGCTTCCACAGCGTGGTACTTCACCGTGGAAACTGTATCCAGCAGCCACTCCCATGATCCGCACAGTAGCAATCTATCTAGTAGGAGATTTCTGCTGCCTTTCATTCATTTGACCGCAATGAGTTCGACCAATCCTCGCTTGAAAAAGGAGGAATGTCCCCTCCTCCAACACATGGCAAATGGCCAGGGGTCTTAGTTGTGGGTAGATCACAAAGGAGATTTGGGTTGGCCAGGTCCTCCCCTTTCCTGGGATGCGGCACTTTACGCTGGTTGGGGAAGATTCGGGTCCAGAGCGATTCTGCAACCGACAAAGATACTTTCTACACTGCAGCATTCTGCAATGCTTCCTGTGCTGAATATTAGACTAGCTAGAACAACTACTAGTAGGTCTGCTGTAACAAGACGGCAACCCAAAGATTAGTTTGTCGTCAACATTTCGGTCGCAGCCAGTACTTCAATGGGCATACCGTATCTATAGAAAGACCCCTGGGAGGAAGATACTTGCTCCGAAGCAAAAGGTTGGCCGGATACCGGTATTCCTTTGGAGAACGAACTTTCTGTCCATGGGACTTTTTTTCATTTATCTAGCTAGTCGCTTTTAGTTACCGTGAAGTGCTACTGTACGGTACGGCAGTGGTATGATAAAAAGTGGGCTACTCTCGAGATATCAAATCAAAACAGGGTGTGACGGCACCCGCACAGTCTCCAGTCCTCTTATTCGTGCTCTATTAGATTCTGACGCCTACATGGATAGCAAGTCTACCACACCTTCCTCCTTGTTGTCGGGTTGTTGTTGTTGTGGATTGGATTCTGGGAGGTTGCTGCCATTATTATTGATCCCCAGGAGGTCTGTCTGTATCGTTTGTTCTTGCTGTTGTGTAGTAGTCTCTTGCGCAAATGGATCTGATGGTGCTACTGCTTTTGTTGTATCCAATGTCGTAGCAAATGGATCTTGATGGTGTTCTCCCAATGAAATCAAGGGTGCAGTATTTCCACTGTTGGTATTACTATTGGAGGACGCTGTTGTGGACAGATTGGACGGTTGTTTGAGCATGGTTCTGGCGGCGACAAAATGTCGCACAGGTGTCAAATTTTTGGGATTGCTTAGATCATTCAAGTATTCATTCCAGAGAATCCGATGATCACTGTCTTGTACGTAGAATCGATGATCAATCAGTGGTATTTGGGTCAGACCGTCCATTTTCATATTCTTGTTTTCCGGATGCAACTCGCAAATCCATTCTTCGTACGTCGCCTGTGGACGTTCGTCTAAAAATTCCAACAAGTGGGTCCGCATCGTTTGTAGACACGCCTCTGTGGCGGCTCGGACAATTTCTTTGCGCGTCGCTTCATCGGCGGTTTCGTCATTGATGCGATCCAGTTTATCGGCCAAATCTTGATCTTGTTCCAAATCGTCAATCCATTTCGCGACATTCAAGTTGTTGTTCACGGCACGCAATGCTCCACCCAGTTTTTTGCCAATTGCCTTGATTTTGATTTGACGTTTCGGACTTTTTGTGGTGGCGGCTTGTTGCATCTTGTCGACCCACGCTTGGTTCATGGTTTTGCCTTGTGAAATTTCAAACGGAGCAGTCGTTGGTTTGCCTGGTGGAGGCTGGATCGACGCTTCCGTCTCTTCGCTCGTCGCGGACAGCTCCGGTGGCTTCATGGCAAAGCCAAAGTCCGCAGTAGCTCCTTGGTTATTCATTATTGTCACTTTAGTTTTGATGGTTGTTTGTTATGGTGATGTGTTGGTTTGTTGTTTGCTTGCTTGAATGGTCGTTGGTGCTGGTTTGTCGGTGCTCGTGTGAGATGTGGGCAATCTTGCTTTGCTTTTGAAACATCACAAAAGAGAAGCCTTGAAAGCCGTCAGAGCGGTAAAATCAACACGGGAGTCAACCGAAGGCACAAGGATGTCAGGTACCGGTACAGTACCAGTCCTCCACACCAGCTCTGGCTTTGGGACCGCCTTCAGCCACAGCGCTGATTGTAGTGAGATGTAGTCTAGGTGGTCTTAATCGTATCATAGTGCTGTGTCCAGGTTCTCGTAGAGCCCGTTCCGTATTAGGCAAGCTTTATGGCACCGGTTGACACACAATTCGTTAGTCAGGGGTTCGGCGCCCAGTCCAAATGATTGAAACATGTTGATTCCGGGTAGACCGCTCGTCATACTAGCTAGCTAGTAGCTCTCTTCATGATGGGCAACTCTCCCTCGTACTACACCAAGCAAGTAATCTAGAGTTTAAAAGGCTCAGGCGGTCGATGGGAGTGGAGGAAGACTCCATCTCAAATCCCATTGGACTGTCAATTTCAAGAAGCACGCAGGCAGCCACTACCATTTCTGGAAGTTGGTCACTCTGGCGGTTGCCGCGGCAAGGCAATAGGAAGATGGCTTGATATTGTCTTGGTCTCTGCCAACCTCTGGTCCATTCTGGTAGGTCCATCTCCCTTCCCAAGAACAGATAGATATTCATACCAGCAGAAGATCTTAACACGTTAACACGTATGTATTGCGACTAGCTACATATACAGTAGCCACAGTAGTCTAGCTAGTAGAGCTTTGCACGATGCATAGTGCTACCCAACTACCGTACTGAGTACCGGGTACCGGTACCGGTGGAGGCTCTCTTTCAGTCTCCATGTGTGGCACTCCACTTCGATCTATCTTCCGGATGGTGGAGTGTGATGGCAGCTGTAGTCGGCTGCCGGCAACGTGTCGATGGCCATAATTCCACAACGTTGCAGCGAAAGATGACTTATACTGCCGAAGCAATAAAAAGAAGTTTGGGTTCCTGGTGTCGCGTCATTATTTTGATGCGACGAGTCAAAGAGGTTTGCATTCACACTTCGTAATGAGACAGCGAGCTGCAAAGAGATCCCCACATGTATCGCTGCTTAATTCGGCAAGTTTCCAGAACAACGAGGAATGGCACAACGGCCAGTTGTTCATGCTACCTGGTAGTGCCAGTAGTGGTCGAGAGGCCGGTGTGTTTGACATTCAGCATGAGACTGCCACTCAGGACATGATTTAACACACATTAATTCTTGGAGCGTAAGAGTAGAGCAATCTTCTGCAAGCGAGAAGGGGTTGTATCAGAGTCCCAAGGTGGGCTTCCACCAGGATCACATAGTTGCTGTTTTTGAGGACCTTGGAAATCGATACATGTTGATGACACCAGATAGCGTACCGTATGTTAGCAAGACGCTTCGATACAATGTTTGTCTCTGAAGCTGAATCCACAAGCTTCCCTCCGACCAACGCAGACGAACCTATGCATATCTACCTCCTTCATGCAAATTAAAGCCAGGTCAAAGATTGCAAACTTCATTCTCCATCGATGATGTAAGGATTAGATCATTCGGACTAAAAGGAGCAATTGATAAGGCCTTGTGTCACTACATGTAGACCATACGACCATACAGGTACTGTACTCAGCACTCCTAATTAAAAAAACTATCTCTTGTGTTACCGGTACGCACATGGAGAATGCAGAAGTTCCACTGGCTTCTAATCTGTCATCACTTTGGCCGTGCAGTTTTCTTGCTGGCTGGCTGGATGTTTGGTGTTCTCCCAAAAGGTTGCTGTGAAAAGTAAGTAACACCGTAGTCCACACCGTCAATACTGACTAGCTGACCGTAAAGCAAAACACAAACCGGTGTGTAGCTGTTATTACCCCTTTCCACCTGCTTATACTAGACTACCACTCCACCACTACCGGTATTGTTGAGACAAGACGACAGATAGATATCAATAGTGGACGATAATGCCATGATGCGGCCTCTGAAAAGCTTGGTGAGGGGATTCCTCCTTCTGAGCACCATTATCATACCCGCAGTGATCTCCTCAGACGACGATACCATCCCCAACCCGTACATCGCCGGCTGCCTCCGAGAGACCCTCCCAGGCTGGACCAACGTCCGCGTCTGCGGCAGTGATGACGATCCATCTCTCATGGAACAGGGTATCTGTCGACCCGCCGAGTTTGAAGAATACATGGAAATCCGCATCAGTGTGGCCAACTGGGATTCTCCCGTCATTTTGACGTGGTTAATCCAGATTATCCTGTCGGAAATTCTGGGCGTCCCCGCATCGGTAGAAACAGGACGACCCCACCACTTGGAACATCGCGGTCTCTACGATCCCATGGTATCTCCCGTCACTACTGCTGCTAGTAGTGGCTTGGATTATACCAATACCACCAGCAGCCACACGGACGTGCTGGTGGTAGCATCGGACTTGCTACAGAATCAAGGGACGGCCGATTGCCGCGTGGTCAACGACGACGACAAGACCGATGAATATACGGCGTGTGCGCATGTGATTCCCGAATACTGGGATGCCAACTCTTTGGAAGCGCAAGAGCTCATTTTTGCCAACAAAATTGAACCCGCCCAGACCACGGGCTTTTTGGGACATGAGAGTTGGTTCGTTACCAAATTCACGGCCGATGACGACCCCACGTTGGTGTCCTACCGAGGCTTGATGGGCGAAGCAAATCGTCAAAAAATGGCGGACATGTTCCTACGGCCAACCACCTGGAGAGATTACTGTCTAGAGGTATCCCCCAACAATTGTCGCTTGTCAGACGACGTGGCACAGAGAGCTCCCAGCACGGAGGACGAGGATGATCGCATGTTTGTTCCAGGCTTGTATACCGGTCACTTTCGTGCCACAGACGACAATAATTGTACACTCAACCCTACTACCTGCACGGGGCACATTGGAAACTACCCTTGTGGTTGGACCTCTCACGTCGAGCAGTCTCTGTACCATTTGAATATTCCCTTGAAGAGCGATGGCATGGAAGGAGTGGATGAAACTGGCAACGGAAAGGGTGGCTACACATCATCACAACTCGCCGATATGTGGCATGCGGCCAATGCCACAAAATCCAACTTGATCATGTTCTGGTGGACACCACAACCTCTCTACTACCGATATCTCGGCAGTGACGCCGAGATGCAACGCATTCTTCTCCCACCCGTCACGCAAGCATGTGTCGAAGCTCGAACCACTGCCGCTGACGAATGTAGCCTCAACCAGACGGTGCGAGCGGGAGATCCCAAAGGCGCTTGTGATAATGCACCGCATGAGTTGCACAAACTCATTACCGGGGCGCTGCAACAAGTGATACAATCAGAAAATATCCCAGCCGCCATTCGATCACCAGCCTATGATATGCTACGAATCTTTCAAGTAACCGATGCTCAGTTGGGAGATATTTCGCAATTGTGGCAACAGCCGGATATATCACCTCGACAAGCCGTATGCCGTTGGGCCGCCGACAATTTGGACATACTGTACCATTCCGTCCCGACGTCGTATCCACGAGTCGCACGCCTCGACAATGAACTCTCCGGATTTGGGATTGCCATGACCGTTCTGGGAGCTATCACGACAATTTTGGTTCTAGTCACCGCGTTCTTTGTGTACAAGAGACGCAATAAACTCGCCGTTCGATACGCGCAAGTCGAGTTCGTGTGGCTATTGCTGTGTGGATCCTTTCTCATTGCCATTGGAGCCATTCTGACCAGTCTCCCCGCCACCGACGGTACTTGTGTGGCCACTGTTTGGTTCATTAATATTGGATACACTCTGGAGTTGGTAAGTGAAAGTCAAACGGCAAAAATGATGACATGTATGCGTTCGTGTGCACTTATGCTGACGCACCTTCTCTTGTCGCGCCTTGCTTGCACTGTAGGTGCCCTTGATTGTTAAAGTGGCAGCCATCAACGAAATGCTAAACGCAGCGAGCCGTTTGCGACGAGTCACACTCACCCACAAGTCTTTGTTTGGTGCAGTCGCGGTGATCTCAGTGCTTTGTTGCGTTTTCTTGACTATTTGGACTGTCCTCGATTCACCCAACAAAAAGGCGGTTTATGACTTGACTGGTGAAACCACAACAACCGATGCTGGTGTTCAGGAACATATTGTGGGAAAAAGCTACTACTGTAGTCGTGGCGAGTCGGATGCTTGGCAATTTTCAGCTGTGGCGTGGAATGCCGTAATGCTGTTCTCTGCCACTGTACTGGCCTTTCAGACCAGGAATGTCCAACAATCCTTCAACGAGAGCCGGACGCTGGCCTTTTTGATCTACTCCCACTTTGTTTTTGTAATTTTGCGCATCTGCACCTTCCTGTTGGTCGACAGCATCAGTGGCACAACCTTGGACCAACTTCGGAGCCTCCTCTACAGCTTGGATACAATTTTCACCATCGCAATCTACATTTTCCCCAAGTTGATTGCAAAAGATTCGGATATGCGACCGTCATTGGGGAGCGCTCATATATCTGGCATGGTCGACCTTGTTCACAGTGCACAATTCAGTATCAATGGGTGCGCAAGTGGAAACAGCGCCGGACCATATGGGGACGCGAGTAGTCTCGGCTATGCGTCCGACCTTGACGTGAGTCCGTCCGCTGATCCAAGTTCAAGGAAACCCGCCAAGGAGCAGGCAGGAAGAGAGGAGCCATACACCGAGGAAGATACAAGGAGCGATGGGGACAAGGAAAACAACAATCTTGGCGAAAATGCAGCAGATATAGTCATCTACGACGACGACATCATGGATTCGAAATCATACGCTGACGACATCATCAAACAGGTGGACTGCTAGCTTGGAAGAAGTTATACCTTTTTGGTGCTACTCCGGAATCCATCCAAACATTCCCTTCTCCAAGTGGATCTCCGAACCCTCCCTTGACTTGACGAGAAGTTACCAGCAGTTTGAACGGGGCACTCGCAAGATGCAGCTAAACTTTGCGGTGCGCTGAAAAATGCTAAAATTCCGTGACTGGAGGTCGAGATCTTCAAAGATCAGGGAGTTTTGCTTGTGCTCGCCATGGAATGGACCATTGCCGAGACCATTTTTCTAGAAGCTCTCCATGAGCACTCTTGCTGTCTTGGCCCAGCCTGAGGCTGCATTCAGTCAAGAGTAGAGTGTCTGCTGGCACTCGAGAGATCCATTTAATACCGTAGTAGAGAATTTGTAGACATACATAGTACTCCATTCTATTTTGAGATCGCTATCTGGACAACTGCGACAAGCTACGCGTTTCTCCAGACCGCTGCCACAGACCATTGCACACAAATTGTTTCCACGGTCGAAAGAAGACCGTGGAAACTCTACCTCCTGCTGCACCCGTGACTGAGATAAACAAGACTCACCATGGTTGCCGCCGATTTTTGCCCACCGATCTCCAAGCAAGGTTGTCATTTCCGCAAACCCTCCTTCTACACATCATTCCTATCCAATCTTCTGTAGAATGCTCGACAATGATGCCCTAATACGCCTCTCTGTGCTCATTGCACTGATTGTTGGTTTTCAAGTGTTGGTTTCACATGCTTCACTGGAGAGAGAGGCAAAACGACGATGGCAGCATGCCTTGACTGGCCACATTATAGTGCAAGCCTCCTACATTATTCCGATGAGTTATGGCAATGCAGGTCTATGGATTGGAGCTGTGGGAATGGCATACATTCGGTTTTATCATCCCGACAAGTTCATGGAAGCATTTGGTCCACTCTTGCGACCAGAGGAGCTGGAAGCCAGCAAACTACCGGGTGCATTCTATTTTCTTATTGGGTCGTCCCTCACGGCCACAATTTTCGATCTGCCAATTGCTCGGTATGCTGTGGAATGTCTAGCAATAGCAGACCCAATGGCTGCCTTTGTGGGGAAATCAGTACCGTCACCAAAACTGAATCAGAGTGCTTCCGTGGCAGGTTGCTTTGCTTGTTTTATCACGTCATTGATCGTGGGATACCTGATGATAGAAGATGCATCCTTGTTCCAACTATCCATGGGTGCCCTTGGTTGCACTCTGGCAGAGGCAATGCCATTTGGGAATGACAACTTGACAATTCCCTTAATGACAGCTGTGGCTGTGACATGTGTTTCGAATTCATAATGACAATTTGCTGTCTGCTCATGTACCATTCATGCTGCTGTTTTGAACCCTCTACACTGCTTCTGAGTCAATGAATGTGAATTATTGTGAACGGATCCAGCAATCGTTTGATTCTGCCGACCACATTATGGTTCACGAGGTCAGGTACTTGGCAATTTAGTCTCCAAAGAACTACGATCTTGACTGCCTGCAGCATGAATATTCTCTGCCAATAAAAGAGAACTAGCTACTACTGGTACGTTGGGAACTGCAAATCAACAACGATTACAGCTTGTATCACAACAACCACAGCAAAATAATTCCCGGTGCTCCTCCGTGCGGACCAGTTACCTTGTTGCACGAAATCCCGCCGAGAGGAGTACCGGCACAGATATTTAAAAAATTCAAAGGCTGTACTCAGAGTGCTAGTAGCAAGAACCGAGGCTCAAGTACCTGGAACTGCTGCTATTACATGTATTGTCTAGCTAGCTATGCATACATGTAGCTGGCTGCATTACATGTACTGCCATGGCACAATGTACCGATGTACCATACCCTCTGGACAACTACTTAATCTGGTACCGTACGATTGTACCGGTACCACCGGTAGCAATCAGAAGGAGGTCAACATTTATTTCATTTGTACGGTATGGCATAGTTACCAGTACTCGTTTGCTTGTGCCACGAGTACCGTACCGGTACCGAAGCAGACTAAACGACTTATCGACTTACCACCGACACCACTATCCAAGCAACTTGACAACACAAACGATGAGCTCCAACCATGATGCCGGCCACAACAAGGAGAGCGCACCCTTGTCAAGCGACAGTCCTCTTTCTGCTCTTCCTTTTCGCCCTCTGTAACAGATTACACGTCTCTGCTCTTCCCAACGCCGCCGGTGCCTGTCCAGCAAATGAGGCTGCCGTGGGTGGATCTCACTTGGGTAGTGTGGCGCGGCATCACCCTACTATTGAAGGGTCCGTCACGGGAACTCATGGAGATGTGGAAATCACCAAGGGTGCTCTTATTGACGGTGGTCTACATGTATCCATCAATGGCCGAGTACTTGTGGCAGGAAACGCCACGAACGAATTTGCCATTCAGCAAGACAATGCACTCGTTCTAGAAGCCTTATTAGACGCTGCTGTGTTTCGAGGCTTTTTGCTCCGTCTGGGAGGCAGTAGTGCTCTCAACGGCACCACCACCAACACGGTGGATACCACCGATGCTCTCAGAGTGGCAGAGGATGACACAGACATTCAAGTGTCCAACAATCTTTGTGTTGCGACACAGGGAGTGGGTGGTCTGACGCACACGGATCCAGAGTTCAAGAGCAAGGTGACCGGCATCCTGTTGATGGAGGAATTAGCCGATAATCTGCCACTGGATGTGACTGTCGTCACCCAGAATCGAGACGGCATTTCGGAGTATTACTACTCTCAGTATTTGCTGAATGCGGTAGAAATGGTCATGGAAGAAGAAGGTACTGAAGGAAACGAGATTGAACCTGATGACAATTCCGAACAAGAAGGAGAGAGCAAAGAAATGGAGAGCAGGTCCTCCAGGATTTTGCCAACAAAACGGAGGGAGACCAGTCTCTATATGATCTTGGGATATGTCTTCTTGTTTGCATGGTGAATAGCGTTGAATCCCTTGGTTGGTAGACGGAACAAAACATTGTGATTGTTTCTGAGAACACCCCGACCACAGGTGCCTCCAAACCGCAGGACGCTTGCAGGCTAGCTGACAGAGGTGGCCATCGAACGCCGTTCGATGTCACTGATGTTTTGGACCGTGAAAGGGAGTGACGAGTGACAGTCGCTTGCAGCAGAAAGATTAGCCTTCATGTGTTTGCTGGCATTTGGTTGCCATGGGTACAGTACTGTGTGCGGCAGTGCCCCCAGCAACGCAACACCAGCCAGCAATGGCAGCTTCATGTTGCTCTGCTCGATGATGGTTGCCTAGACTAGTAGAACTTTTAGTATCCTTGGGAAGCCACAACGGTTCATGTTTGCAAAGTTCAAAAATTAGTATTTGATAGACTACTCAGGTATTCGAGCTCCCAGATGATGTTCTATATCAAGACACCACTCTCAGTTGCCCTAGTCAAAGCCACTCAATTATATCTCCTCGGATCCCACAAATTCAAGCTCTTTGGCCCTTGTTTGGTCCCCAGGCCCCAGCTTGTTGCCCTTGATCCTAATTTCCACTTTTCTTTTCCTTAGCCTGGACCCTTGCCGGCGACCCATACATAACTTCCCTACTCGAGACCCCCATATCTTTTACTAAAAGATATCAGCATCATACCAACTTTGGTTGCTGCTGCACGTTAATGTAGAGTATGCATGTATCCAAGCTAGCCCCAACCAGATCCAATCGCACCTCCTTCCATCCCTTCATTTTTTCTGTTGATGGCAAGTGGCAAGCTTGCCCCCAAGCCAAGATTCTTTTAAAACCCCTTGCTTCTGTCTGTCAATGCCAACAAAACTCAGTTCTCCTACTCTCAAATGTCAAAGGATGTTTTTCATGCAGACATGCATCTCTGTTGGGAGTTATGTACTCCTGGCCACACACATAGGCTGAGGTTCTGTTTGAATCGCAAAGTATGGGTAAGTCAAATGCCATGTCTGGCGCGCACAACATGACACGAATGAAAACTGAGGAGAGCTTACCACGGCCAAGATGTTTCCAAATTTGTCCAAGAAAAATGGGCCCCCCCCAAAAAACCCTCCACATGCACCGCAATCAACAATGGTAAGAAGCAGAGTCCTGCATCCGGCAATGGTGACACCAACAGGACATGGAAAAAACAGAGAGAGAGAGAGAACAGCAAGAGAAGATCGGTAGCAGCATCATGAATCATCACCGCCACAATCAGAAAACCATGTCGCAACCAGCAAACCCTTTGGAAAAGAGGAAGAAATGAAGGAAATGCGTTGGGGAATAGGCTCCTTCACAACAAAATCTGGAGATTAGGCGGCCAAAGCAAGCATCACCCAAAACACATTCGTGGCTTGAAAACAATACATTGGCGTCGCTGTGTGTGAATGACCACATCCTCAACTCGCAGGCTCCCACCAGTGAGAGTCACAATTTGGAGTTGGATGCGAAATTTCCTTGTCGCAAATGGTCTGTTTGGGTGGGTGGAAGAGCGATTTGCGAGTGGGAAATCGAGATTTGGCATGTAGGATATTTTGTCTAAGTAGCCTTGTAGTAATGCATCTAAACGAACGTCCATATCGCTGATTAGATTAGAGCCTTCTATATCGCTGAATAGATGAACGTTACCCAAAATGAGCGACAATGGCCCCAACAATGGCTTGTACTCGCAGAATCGTATATCGCTGAATGAGTACTCGCAGAATCCGTACTCGCAGAATGGCACATCGCAGAATCAAACCACGGGATTACAAAGTAGTGCGCATTATAGCTCTAGTGGCAGAGCTCATTACAGCCATGGTGGCAACTTCGTGCAGCAGGAATACACCGCATACAATGGCCCTACACCGTACTCATACAATGGCCAAAGCATGGGCTTAGCAGTACCTGTGCGCTACTATGGAACACCACAGCAATATTCCTACTACCCTCACCATGCATACCACCCGTACTATCAACCCCCATTTCCAGCACAGGTACCAGCAGAACGCACAAAACCACGCATCAGCCCACCCAAGCAAGGGAAGAAACACCAAGAAAGTGCCCTTGGGGATTATATAGAAGATCCAAAATGCTTCCCATGCAGTACGAAAGAAGACTCAAGGGCTCAGCTATTCGAACACTACGGTGGGTTCCATGATGGGAAGCAGTGCTTGGTAGCAGACGGCACTTACAAGCTGAGTGGAGGTATACGTTGTCAAAAGTTTGTGTGCAGAGCCAAGGCAGAAGACTGGAGATGCGAGTGGAGAGGACAAACCAGAGACCTAGGGGACTTGGTTCACCAGAAGAATCGCTTTCGTGTCTATGTCAGGAAAGGTCTGAACAAGCACAACCATGCATTGACTGCGAAACCAATGAAACACAACCAGCAATATGGATTGCCCGCTACTCTACTTGCATTGGCCAACAAGTACGTGGCAGGTGAAGTTGCTCGTGGGAGATCAATCCTTCGCATCACCGCGGACGAGATGCTGAAACACCTCACAACCACCATCAGGAATGACACCGAGGAGATCTATTGCCAGCACAAGCATCTGGTCTCTTGCAGAGAGGAACGTGATCGATTGACAAGGCAACTGAGAAGTCACGTTGGCTACAAGCGAGAGGTCTTTATCAAAGAGAACCTTTATGGGTACTCCTCTCTGAAAACGAATGACAGTTTATTCCGTGTGCTCTCTCACTGGCAGCTTAATGTACCAGCTGGCTATGTCAAACACTCTAACTATTCGTCTTCTGAGGAACTAGCCAGTGCTCTGCAAGCGAAGCCTGATCAGATGTTCGCAGTCAACCTGGCCACTGGGCATGCACTACGTATGTACAAGGATAACGTCTCGGTCCATGACGATTTACAGATGCCTGATTTGGCAAGCAAGATCGAAGGTGCTTTCTTTATCTTTTCACCAACTGGTCTGTTTCAGCTATTGTGCATCGCGAAACGTCGTAAAGGGACAAGACAGATCTGCTCTGATGGCACTGGAGGAATGATACGCGATCAAAGTGTCCTCATCACCATCGGAGGACTGTCTGTGAAGCTTCGAAAGCAAGTGATGAATGTCACAGCATCGTTCAGACCCATTGTGTACCTTCGTGCTGGAGGAGAAAGGTTTCATCCCTACTGCATGACACTCTATGCATTGAGAGGCATCTGTTGGTCACTATTCGGTATTGAATTTTCCATTGATTGGGGGGTATCCGACAGTGCTGACACCTTCGTCACTGCTCACGTCTTCTTCAAAAAGCATCCTACTCTGTGTGACACCGAAGCCATGAGACGATCCTTGCACGTTGAAAATACACGTACCAGTGCCACTCCCGAAGCTGCTGCCACTGCCACCGACAACGTCGGACTACTGATGACGCAGGATTTTCAATACGAGTCCGAAGAGGATAACGAAGCCAATGACTGTGACAGCGACGATGGTCAGTTACACGACGAAGCTGTATTAAACTGCTGTTTCCATGTAATCCAACCATTCGCGAAGAAGAACAGCTACTACAAGAAGTTAAAGAATCGCGATTTTGCCATTACCAGAAAGGAGAAGCCCAAGGGCAGCTTACAAGGTACAGCGTTCTCTCATGTCTCAAACATTGCAAAGACGAAATCGATCGAGCAACGTCGAACTGTGACAGAATTGTACATGAATCACTGGAGAGCAATAGGAGAACACGAAGCAGCCATCCACTTTACGAAAGAATACTGCGTTTACCCAAGGTGGAACTGGAATTACTGCTGCAGTGATGAGTGTGGTGTTTATCCTTCGAACTGTCCGAATGAAAGCTTCAACCGGCATGGAATTAAGAGCGTTTGCGCTGACAATGCCAAGAACGCATCCCTAACTCATTTCCTCGTCCACACAGCAAGGTCCTTGTTAACAGATGACGCTCATGGAAGGTCCGACCCATGCACTATTGTCATTCCCGACACATGCTCACCCCTCATGGTGACTGTAACTGGGTTTGTTTGTGAAGGAATCGATGTTATTGAGATGGGACGAGACCACGTGAGTGGTCGTGCGACTGGATGGCTTGGGAATCTACGACACAACATTGGTGTACCTCTTGACTCCAGTCGAGTTCGCCTGATCAATGCAGCAATGGATGGTGACTGTCGCCCATTCCGATGTGTGCTTGCAGATGCCAGTTCTGATCGAATTGCTGATGCGATGGTTTCCGCGACCAAGTCCGTTTGTCACTTGCAGTACAAGGATGGCAACATTGTTGGTGATTGTGAAGACTGCATCAAACATCTTGGCTTCAATTGTCCTTGTGCAGTTTTCCTAAGAAGCAAGCACCATCTGTTGGAAACAAAGCTTGAGATGTTGCGCAAGACGAATTCGAATGGAAGAGGGGATGCGGTAAAGGCTGAATCAAGAGGAACAACAGTGCACATGTACCAGAGTGGTCTTTCTGGAAGGAGCAAGCGCCGTTGCCTGCCCAAGATGCTGGAGTGTTTCGAGGGTTATCTATCCACTCTTATGCCACAGCACTTACGCAACGTTGTTAGATATCTCTGGTTGTGCCCCAAAGATCAAGATATGGAGCTGTTTCTCAAAACACAAAGCCAAAAAGCTCTCTTCGACCAGCTTGTTTCTTTCTATGACAACACTCGCGGTTATAGGAAGATGCTCTTAACAGGTGATACACAATACTCACAGGTCAAGACGATCGTAAATCGTCTTGAGATGGTCCATGCAGGGAAAGAAAACAAACAGAAATCAAGCACGCAAACAGCTATTATTTAAAGATTGCACTTGATAGTCTACCTTAATAACTAGTATTCCCATTGCGAAATATACCCTTTGGTGGCAGTGTTCTTGGTATATTGAAAGCAAAAGAAGTGATTACCCTTGTAGAATTTCGAACTGTTTTCCTGATGCGATATTTGGTTTCCAGCGGCACTTTCTTTCGGAGAGTAGCATCAGAAAAGCCAATGGCTGGTAAATTTTGGTGGTCTTTGACAGTGTGGTTGCGATACTCCACAGGACACTCCCAATGGGATGTTCGTGTGATCTGAGGTTGATTGATGCGTTCTTCTGGCCATAATTCAATCTCCCACTTGACTGAACACGACCACTATGTCTTCCATTCAACCAGTTTCCCCCAATGATGGGTCTGAGGCTTCTCCTGCCGATGTTCCAATTGATGTGCCAGTGGACCCTTCTCCACCCAACTCTCCTTCGAACAGTACTGTGTCAAACGATGGTTCTGTGACCAACAAGATTCGTCATGCTGATCCTGTTCAATTCCAGGCAGAGACGGCATGGGTGGCGGCCAAGATTCAAGAACTTGGGAAGCTTGGATACGACCTGGTCAGGCATGGAAATGTCATGGTGAAGTGCGTCAACTTCCATCGCAAATGGAATAAGTACCCTGCCCTTGATGAGGTGTCCATTGGTGATCTGCTTGGAACCAAGCTTATCAAGTATGGTCAGAATGGGAAAAGGCTCATGTTGAATCCTGATATCAACGCTTACCCAGATGCGGAGGACTACATCAACTTACCCATTTTCAAGCTGTGCCTCCCTCATCCCAACAAGCACCCAGAGCTATTGAAAATTGTCTGTGAAACTTTCGACTATGACGAAGAGGCGTATCGCGAGGTTTTCGACCGTCATTTGGCTACCTTGAACCTGACTGTTGATTTCGATCCCATTGATGCAGCCGGTATGGACAGGACTGTCCAGGAGCTACTTCGCAGTGGGCCCCATTCTTCCCCTACCAGTACTCGGTCGGAGTCTGGTGGTGATGCTACCAGATCTGCCGGTAGCGAAGACAGTGACAGTGAGGAAATCGATAGCCCATCCCCTTGCAAACCTGCAGCTAAGCGTTCTCGTACCTTGGACACCAGTTTCTTGTCTCAGGTGGCTTCCGATTTCGATGACCAATCTTCTGTCAACAGCCGCGATGTTGTTGAAGAAATGCTACGCACTCCTAAAAAAACCAAGTTTGCTGCTTCTCCCAATTCCAGTGAAGACAATGTTACTTCCCCTGATCTTTGAGTTTGTTATTGCTCATGACAGCCCTGTTATTTTCTCTGCTTCTTCATGCGGTTGGTTGCCATTGTGATGGAGGGTTCCCAAATGGCGAATTTGGGGGGGCCCTGTTTTGGTTGATTGACGTTTGAAGGAAGCTGATGGTTGGTGCATGATTTACCGTTGTCGTCCATACGTGGCATTTTCAGTATTGAAGCTACGTACCTTTTCCTTGGCAGGGCTGGCTTTATTCAGGTATTCGTGATAATAATATAAAATAATCTCTAGCCTTCGGTGTAAGACCAGTACTATAATATACTCATCTCTGTTGCCCTGGTGAATTATGAGATTTTTTATGTCTCTGTGGATCATGCATAGCCAAGCCCTTTGGCCCCCCTACTGGTCCTCTGTAATAAGCCCCCGTGTTACAAAGCTACATTTACGGTGGTAGACTGGTACCAGGTACAGCCGTAGCTGGTAGACTACATGATTATTATACATAAGTAAGTTTTCCTTAAATCTGATGTCAACTTGACACAGCGATGGTGGTGTTGCAAACCAGCGAGGTAGAATTCAAAATACGATTGATGACGGCAAAACGATCATGCTTGTTCTTGCTGGGGTGCTGGCTGGCTTGTGGCACTATGCAGGTAGTTTGTACCGTACGATGTAAGGTAGAATTTTGAAAATGCAAGACTTTTCGCGGACCCGCAATGACATAGAGCCAGCCGGATTACCTGCTTGCGTTGGCCCTTCTACTGTCCATGTGTACAATTATCTCATTATTTTTTGTTCTTCGTTCTCCGCGAGGAAAAATATCAAAATATCCACATGAAGCTCCTTTTTGCCTCGCTCCCTCTGCTTCTCCTGGCCCCACAGCTCATCCATGGTCAAGATGATGGTTCTCAACCTCAGTGTGCCAACTGGACAAAGCCCATCTATTTTTACAATGACCCTGCCCTGCAGTCGGCAGACTATGACTACCTCTTTGCCGTGATAACAACGATTGAAGCTGACTGCTTTGATGCTGATGGTGTTCCCACTCCTTGCTCCCTTGAAATAGCTTCAGATCTCCCAGAAGCACCAGCCTACGAAACAGAGTGCTACAAAGGTGGAGGTAGAATCTGGACATACACCTACCATCCACTCTGTGGTGATGGTGCTAGTTCATCGGATTACTCTGTCAAGCCAGTGCTGATCTGTGCCAGTGCTAGCTGTTCCAGTAGTGGTGTATCCAATCTAATTCCCCAGCAAGAGCTGAGAGAGCTAAAGAACTACTCATGTGGTTCTGGAGTAAACGATCTTGAAATGAAGGATTATCCCAGCTCTGAAAGTGCTTCCCAACCTGAATGTTACAATTGGACCCAGGCTCAGCTGTTCGATTGGAATCCAGATTTGAAGCCGGCCGAAGATGCCTACCTGGAAATGGTTGCCTTGAAAATGGGAGCAGAGTGCCTTGATACTGCTACCAGCCCAGCCACAGCCAAAGCCTGTGATATCACCCTGAGTGAAGATGATGCAGCCACCAAAAAATACAAAGAGGAATGTGAAAAAGTTGGTGGTGTGGTCACCAGTTATGAATTGAAACCAAATTGCAATCCTGGTACACCCGAGATGAAGATTGCACCAATGATTGTTTGCTCCAGTGCTAGTTGTACAGAAAATGGAGTGATTAACTTGTACCCACGACAAGAGGAGACATACAAGTATATGGATGAAGCTGGTATCACCTGTGGCAGTGTTATTGACAGTTCAAACACTGAGGTTCTCAGCAGCCCAACAGGCAGCAGTGGCACCAACCTCCAAGTCTTTGGAAGCGTTGTGGCTGCCACATTGTTGGCCATTTCTGCCTTCTTTGTTTGAAAGGTTTATTTAGCGTTTGGAACTTAGGTATGGTGAGTTACGGGCAATCAATCGAAAGTGGAATTGAATCGCCAGCAACAGGAAGGCCTATACTTTAAAAAATTAGTGATGTTTTAAAAGAAATTGTGCAAGCAGAAGAGATCTTCGACAGCAGTAGTCGTTCACTCAGGAGAACACAGACGATATGAAGAAGAAGGTGCATGCGACGAACAAAAACCCGCTGACACCCAATAATGCTGTGATGACATTGACAAGCATCATTTGCTGGTGCTCGAGGTCTGAAATGGCTGCCTTGTGCTTTCGATTGGTTTGTGACAGGCTTCGAATAATTCTTCGAGCACGGATTTGTTCTTTTTCCAAGGCGCTTGCATTTTCTGCCTTTGGCCGTTCTAATGGCGACACATCATCGTCGTCGCTATCACCGGCTTCCGCGCGTGTGCTTGTACCTTTGCCAACCTGCATGTTGATAATGGGATCATTCACATTGCCAATTCGGCGCACATCTTCCGGCTCTTCCTCTAAAGGTATGATGCTGTCCACAACGTGATTGTCTCCCGCTACTCCGCCAGATTCTTGCGACGGCAGGTCAATATTCTCAGCGTACTGATGTTCACTTTCAGCGGATGCCTCTCCTCCGACACTGCCGAGGTGGTTTCCAAATAGTTTGTTGCCCTTAGGTGATGCCTCTGGATGAAGATTGTTCTGATGAATGGGCCCTCGTTTTGCATTTTGACTTGCCAGATCCCGTGGGCTATCGCCGTCATCCCGATATCCGTTTCGGCCAGAAGCCCGAGCTTCGTGTTCGTGCTGTTGGGAGACGTTTTGATTGCGAACAGGCGTACCATTATTCCTTTCGTCTTGTTCGTGCACACCGACTGGTTGATGCGCAGGAATGGCGTGATTGTGAACAACAACACCCCCATTTGATATCGAAGGTAGCCATCCCATGGGATGACGGAGAATCGGGGGATGGCGTCGTGGGTTTTTCTGGGGCGCCATCTGGCCAGAATCCACGTTCGTGTCACAATCTACCGCAATCTTAATCGGTGCCTTTCGTTCGTCGAGCCTCTTCGTTGGAAGGAACGACCCCTGAAGCTTCGTTTTCTTCCCTCCAGGTTGTCTATCCTCGACGTTCACCACTAGCTGCTCGAGACCGTGATTGGGTCTCTTTCGCGAAGGTCTCGAGGAAACTGGCCCGACGTCCCTGAATGCGATGTCTTCGTCATTAACTGCAGTCATTTCTTGCTCCAACTGGTCTAGAGTAATGAATGACTCGTCTTTCAACTTCTTGGTCTTCTTCTTCTTCCTCCATTTCTTGTGATGAAGAGCATTGTCCTCATTTCGAGTAGCGAAAGCGCTAGGGTCTGAATGCAACTTTGTCCTTGCACGTTTCTTCTTGGTTGTCGTGTTCAGCGCGGAAGGGTACAGCCAAGGTGCCTCCAACCCGGGCCTATTTTGTTCGTTATTGCCTGGAAGCAAGTCACCTCGTTGCTTGTAGTTTGCAGAGTTGTCGCGAACTCCAGGTGTTTCCTCGTTCCTGCCTTTGTCGGTGATGTCCAAAACTTCGACAATGCCGTTACCTGTCATGTCCTCAGTGCCAAAACTGCCTTCACCGTCGCAAGGCACATCTTTAACCAAGGATGACGGGCTTGCGACTCCTTCCATCCCAGGCGACCTCGTCGAAAACTCATAATAAGCCTTCACAGATATCAAGTAGCTCCTTGTCGCACCCCTTCTTGGGCACGTGGGAAGGCTCCGATCGATTTTGTAACTTACTCCATTGTCATTCAAGATCCTTTTGTGGATCATTCTGAAACAAGGAAACTTCAGATCGAGAGACTGCTGTGGAAATCGGTTCTTTCTTTTGTATCCACTTATCTTGCCCAACGTGGTGTGCACTGGAATATTGGCGTTCAGCGTTTCGCCAGTGTCGTCTATGCTTGAATCTGAATCATTTGTCAAGTCAACGGGGGCCGCTTCCGTAGTACCCTCTTCGACGGCCACACGTTTGCTGTTGTCGGTTTTCAAAATAGTCTCCGGGCCAACGGGTGCCGCTTCCGTAAGACCCTCTTCGACGGCCACACGTTTGCTGTTGTCTGTTTTCGATCTGGTCGATGGGTCCATGCCCACATCTGTTGCCGTGCCCGGTTCCAGTGCACTTCTCCCCATTGCCAGCGCCGACGATGATGACGACGACGCCAACAAAGTCTCTGGTTTGAATGACTGCGAGATACTCCTTGTCGATTTCTCCTGGACAAAGTCTCCCGAGTCACTCGAGCCCTTGTGATGCACCTTGTTTGCGTCGTCGACACCAATGAAAGTGTCATTCCATGCTGCAACTTGGTTTGCCACTACTATGGTGGCCTCCACCAGTTTGCTGTAGTTATCGCCCAAAGCATCAACCGCATTGGTAGAATTTGAATTTGTTGCCACGCGAGGCAATACCGATGGCAACGGTGGCACAGTGTTGATTTCCACTGGTTCCGCCGCCACATGGACTGAAGGCAATGCACGACCAGCACTTTTGTCGTTCAGAGGTGCTTTATTCTTGTCTGTAGACGACATTCGCGAAATTGGGGAGTCTTCAAGTTGCACCATGGATGCATCTGGCTTGCTTTCCTTTTCAGACGATGCACTGCACTTGGTTGGATCGTCCGTCACCGAAGAGGGTTGCTGGTTGTTTTCTTCTGCCGATGTCAGAACAGGAGAACGAATCTCCTGTGTAGCGGTGCCTTTGCTCGCATCGGCTGCATCTGAGGCAATAGCATTCGAAAGCATTACAGGTTTTTGAACCGAGCCCCCGCCGACAACATTACCTGAGGTCAGCATATCTTTGCAATCATCCACGACGGAGCTAGCGTTCATCATCGATTCCATGGAGTTATCTTTTCTGCTTGGCATGTCATCTGCGGCCCCTTTTGATGCTTTGCCCTGATCCTCATTGTCATTGATTGCATTCCGCGAGTTGTTGGTCGCAGTAGAAGCGATGGTAGGTTTCGCCGCTGCAATCGGCGCGTTTGAAGGATTCGATTTGTCCTCTGTCCTAGTTGGGATGTTGCTGATCGAAAGGCGGGATGCCTCGCCAGTCTCTGGTACGATCCCTTGCAAGCGTTCCGATTCTGTTGTTGTTGGATTGATGCTTGCTGTTCCTCCAACATTGTCGGCTGACGAAGCTGGAGTTGCGCTAGCTGTTGCTGCTGTCACAAGTTTTTGGGTTGCCGTAATGACAGAGCTATCTGCAGTAGTTTCACTACTGTTCACTGTAGCGGTTTGATTTTTGCTCGCTGCTGAGCTGTGCATATTGCAGGCTGGTGGTGCAGCATTTTCTTCTGGTTCAGTTTGACTTTTGCTTGTAACTGTAGCTTGAGCTTCTTTAACTGCTGCTTGGGGATTGTCTTTCATTATAGTAGTTTGACTTTTGCTTGTAACTGCGGCGTGAGCCTCTCTTGCTATACTGGCTTGATTGTGATTCACTGCTGCAGTTGAACTTTTGCTTGTTACTGTGGCTTGAGCTTTGTTGGCTGCTGTATCACTTTGAGTATTGTTGTTCATTGAAGTAGTTTGGCTGGCATTTTGAGAAAAGCTAGGTCGTACACATGTTTCTCCAGCTCCTCCAGCAGTTTGAGGTTTGCTGGCTGCAGCAGTTGGAGTCTTGTTGGCTGGTACATCAATATCTCCTGCATTAGCAATCTTGGCGTATGTTTTTGGAGTATTGCTGGGTGCAACAGCTTCATGGCCCACTTCCTTTCTCCGTTGGTCTTCGCAGAGTCGTTTGTTATCGGCTATCTTTTTCGTTTGGTTGCTTCGGGCCGGCCCTTGCGCAAGAGGACAATTGATTAATACTGTAGGAATTTCACTGATTGACGTGCTGGGTGTCATTTCAAAGGACTGTCTTTTCTTCCGTCTCTTTTGTTGTTCTCGTTCATGGTCGATTATGTAGGCGGCAGGGCTGATTGGTTCCTGCGTGTATGTGGGCTGCTTTTTGGGTGGCGGTTGCTGTTGTTGTGGCGGTGACTGTGCTTGTGGACGTCCATGAGGGGCCCTCGTGGCGGCAGGCGGTATTTGGGAAGGCAATGGCGGTGACGAGGTTTGGAATCCCTGATTCGAACGCGCTTGTTGTGCTTGCGGATAAAAATGTTGTGGTTCCGGATACCACTGTTGTCTATTCTGTGGGAAATGCTGAGGATGTGTCTGCTGATGATGATGTAGAGCATTCTGTTGGTACTGATTATGATTTCTTTGTTGCGAAGTATTCTGTCGAAATTGGTTTGCTGGATGCTGGGGATACTGTGGATGAGTATTTTGTGAGTATTGATTCGGAAGTCTTTGTTGAGGAGGAGGTCTTTGTTGGAAGTGCTGAGGAGGTCTCTGCTGATGCTGCTGTGACGGTAGAGTATTTTGTTGGTACTGATTGGGATTTCTTTGTTGTGGAGTCTTCTGTTGCAATTGGTTAGAAGGTTTCTGCTGGGGTTGTTGTGTTGGGCTCTTTTGGTACTGATTTGGATGCCTTTGTTGAGGAGGAGGAGGATTCTTTTGATTTGGAATTGGATTTGGGACCATTGGCAGTAATTGTGGCAGAGTCTTGTGTCGGTACTGACTAGGACTTCTTTGTTGTGGAGTTTTCTGTTGTAATTGGTTAGAAGGTTTCTGCTGGAATTGTTGTTGTGGGTTTTGTTGGTACTGATTTGGAGGCCTCTGTTGAGGAGGAGGATTCTTTTCAAGTGGATTTGGGACCTTTGGTAGTGATTGTGGTAGAGTATTTTGTCCGTACTGATTAGAACTTCTTTGTTGTGGATTTTTCTTTTGCGATTGGTTAGAAGGTTTCGCCTGGAGTTGTTGTGGTGGTTTCTTTTGATACTGATTCGGAGGCCTTTGTTGAGTTGATGGTTTCTTTTGATTCTGATTCGAAGATTTCTGTTGGACTTGTTGACTGGGTGGAGGCTTCTGCTGGATTTGATTGGGAGGATGATTAGGTTTTTGCTGTCCTGGTGGTGATTCTTTTTGACTGCGACTCAGATTCATCGCTGGAGGTTCTGGCTTGTTCTGTTGCTGTTGCTGCTTCTGTTGATGTTGCATCGCCGCAGCCAAGTTTGGTACCATCCATCCCATGGCAGGAAAGGGTGCGTTGTTTGCGGGAAAGGGAGGATTTTTGTTTCCGGGAAAACGATTGTTTGCTCTTGATTGAGGATTGCTGTTGGCAGCTATTAGAGGATTGCTCACTGCGAATTGAGGCCTGATGGCTTGCTGCTGTTGCCAACCCATTGGATATCGCGTCTGTTGGTTTGCACTAGCAGGATTCTGCCTCTGCTGCCATCCCTGGATTGAACGCGCGTTGCCAGGTGATTTTGGAGTACTAGTAGATGGGGACGATGACGAGGAAGGACGATGTTGGGATGTCGCTGTACTGGTATTGGTACTGCTCTTGGCTGGGATGTTGGTCTTTTTCTGGGTTGTGGCCGGATTCACCACCTCGACTTCATTGTCATTGTCACTGTCACTGTCATCGTCAATCGCAATCACCTCGTACTCCTTCAGAGGATTCGTCACTTGGCCCGGTGGATCCATTTCTCTTGCTGTGTGAAAACAAGCCGATTTAGCGTTCTCCCGTACCGGTCCTCTAATCCTCGGTGATGTGCAGAATAAACTCGTACTCCCACTCAATCCAACACTTCTCTCTTGTACGGTACTACCAGCTCTACTGGAGCAGAGAACGGAGCAAGTAGAGAGTACACCAGTCTAATAGCACACACACAGCCCTTCAGCTTTCAAGAGAAAGAACCGCCGCACCTTCAGAAAATGAAGCCATCGCGCCATCGCCAAGTGGTGCTGGTACGGTACAATAGTGGTTAGTCATGGGTAATTCGTGACTCTGGTTATTTACATACATGTACATGTACTGGTACCTGGTACCAGTACGGGAAGTTGCCTCGCCAAGGAACCAAGGAAGGGCACAGGGACCAACACCGGATTTGAAACCGGGGCTGGGGCAGCCACAGCGCATTGTTGGCTCTGGCTAGCAGATAGCAATAGAAGACGAAACTTTGCATAGCTACTAGCAGAGACAGGGCTTTGTGGGATCTGGGGTGCAAAAGCGGGGCCAAGCCTTTGGGGAAGATGCGTGATATCAGGAACCAAATATAGTCAAAGATGAGAGGCCTTATCTAGGGCAATGGAGACCTGAGCTTTGAAGCAGACTTCGTTCAGAAGTAGAAGCATTGAATCTCGCCAGCACTGATGACAGCATGCAACTGTATGAGGGGGTGAGATTCGCAGTTCGCAGGAACCACAACTTTTGTGGGCCAAAATATGAACTAGACAACCAAGTGGTGCAATAGTCATGATTCATGTTGTCCCCCAAGGGTCTCTACTAGGAGGTTGTAAGCTTTCAAGACATCCAGCAGAGCACTCTGCTGGAAAGCTAGAGGCAACGTCTCATAGGTTTTACATATCTCGCTGTGTATTTCGTGCAATAGCAGCAAAGCCAAACGAGTATTGGAAGCTTCCACGTCAAAGAAAACAACGATGGTGCTTCACGCTTCGTACGGTAGAACAACTGGCGCCTCTGTACTGCGTTGAAATCACAGTTCAACTTCACACTCCTCTGGGTGCCAAGCAGCAAACCAATCACGTCTATCCGCTTCATTTTAAAAGTTAGTGGGTATATCTAAGCTCTATTGAGTACAGAAGCCGTTCATCATCCCGGACTTCATTTTTGTTTAGGAAATGTGCATTGCCTCTAATAAATGAACGTGTTCTTCACATCGGCATCTGGGTGATCTCTGAAGTACGAGACTGCCCTGATATACCGTTCCAGAATCTGGTCCGACTGCTTGATCCCATCCACGTTCATGGTGACGTGTTTGTTCACCTGGACAGGCTCTCTCTTGTGGTGGTGGAAATGATACTGATCGAGAAGCTTCATTGACTTGACATCATTTGCCGTCATCCAGGCCATGGCTTTGCGAGCCACGGGATGTATCAAGTTCAAGTGCGGATCGTCTGGGTGCTGCGGCAAGAGACGCTGTTCAATGACATCCTCCAACACCAGTCTGCGACGGTTGATCGCATAGACACCCGTAGATGGTTGCGCCGAGACGGGAGCGTGGGTATGCCATTCATTGACAGTAGGTTTTGCTGGCACTGGGACCACGATTGCAGTTCTCCCCGAATTGCCAGTCACAAGACGAACAAATGGTTTGAACAGAAGCTCTACATGAAGCCAAGTGAGTAGAACAGTTGCCGTCACCAAGAAGATCAAAACAGCGATACGCTTCCAGTACAGTCTCCAAAAGTGGGTGCAACACGCTCCGCCCTTGCTCCAAATCCTAGGAGGAGCAAGAGGAACGCCCTTCTCCACTTCCATAATGGATATCCTTCTCTGGTCACATTCACTGTCATCCATATCTGTTAAAAAGGACATGGAGTGGCTTTTCCTCTTCTCTTGTTGCTTCCGCTCTTCCTGTCGAGACGCCTTAGAGCTTCCTCCTGTCAGGGAGGGCAAAGACCCCGACCGCGGCAGTCTACCACTACGCAGGGCGTTCAGTCCTTCCTGGATCAATCCAATGGATCCATTGCGAGGTGGACGAAAGCGCCTGCCTTCCAGGTAGGCTTCGGCGGAAGTATCACTCGCAGTGTAGTCCGACGAGTCGCTTGGTTCGTCGTAGTTGGCAGCCTCGACGTCCATGTAATTGACGCGCTGATCCACATACCTCAAGTCATTGGTACGGGTCGGAAATTGATTGTCGGTGCTGAAACTGTAGGTGTCTCGAACAGTGTTCGTTTCATTGTTGTTGCCAAAGAGGTTGGGGAAACTGCTTCGACGTCTACCTTGTTCCAGAGCCGATACTACGGCATGATGCTCATCGCTACTGTCGCTTCCACTGAGACCAAGATTGTCGCGAGGTCCAAAGAAGAGGTCTGCAAAACTGTTGCGACGTTTGGGTATGTCATCTTCGGTTGGTTTTGGTATCATGGTCGTTTAAGAAGTTGCTCTCTCGACGGTTTGTTGTTTGTTTTGGAAGGTTAAAAAGTGAGACCGAATCTCGGCAACCATGGGCACTTGGCTCATGGTACTGCTCCCCGCGTTTTTTCACTAGGAGGGGTCATTGGAAGCCCCTGTTCAGAGCCACTGGATATGGAACAAGGGTGATGGTGGGTTTCTTAGATGCCTTTTCTCCCAGTGAGGAGTGTTGAGAACCGTCCTTTTCCTCACTGTTGATGATGCTTTGAGAGAGATGCTGCCAATGCCACAGACCCTTCAATAACCCTGCAAGGCTGCCTTATACCGGTGTGACACCCTCTACCAGGTACTGGTGCCTCCGGTACGGTACGGTTCCGTTGGTCACTCGACTGCCCCATTGGCAGTAGCCAGTGTTGGTGAAGGTGATGAGTTTAAGAGGGACCTCTGGCAAGAAATGGAACTAGCCACAGAAAACCTCAAGCTGGATAAGAGCAGAGTATTCTTCAATCTGAAGGAGCTACAACAGCATCATGCCGGACTGGCTCAACAGCTCCAAACTGCAACTCCCTTCGTCTTCCAAGTCCCAGAAACAACAGAGGAGGCCATGACAGTGCTTGCTGCAACACCTTCCATTCAGTTTTCCTTTGCAGCTCTAGCAGTGACACTTTGTGCACGCCTTGCATTGGGACCACTGGGAGTTACAGACTTGGGGATCCTGATTGGCACCAAGATGTTCTGGGAAATTCAGGAATGGATTGTCCATACTGAGCTATTCCACGGCAGTAAAGACATGACATCCATTGGTCCCTTTGAGAGTCATGATAGACATCACATTCTTCCTTACTATCATGTTTCCACGGAACCTCTGCCATTGGCAGTTGGGTTTTATTTACTTGCTGCTACTATTGCTGTGGCAGCAATGTCCTTTGGAGCACCTGCTGCTCAGGCCATGACATGGCTTGGATCCTACACTGCCAGTGGCATTGGGTACATGCTTCTGCACTTTTTGGCCCACACTAGACTAAGCTGCCCTTGAAGGGTTGGCTACAAGAGGCTAGAGCTCATCATATCAAGCACCATTTGGAACCAACAATCAACATGAATATTGTAGCTGGCAGTTTTGACCGTGTCATGAAGACTGACAAGTAATGAATATCGAGATTATTTCAGTACCGACTAGTGGGTCCATTTGATAGGAGTAGCCTAGACTTGATGTTATTAGTTATTACAAGCAAATGTATTGCATGAAACCTGGCCGCACGCAAGCAAACCTCTCAAAGGACTTCTGCAATGTCTGAGCGCTTGTGCATACTTCGCTCGATCACTCAAAAGACTCGATGTAGCAGAGACTACTGCTCCATATGTAGTAAGCTACCAGTAGCGTTCTCGTAGAACGACACGTCTTTGGACACCAATATCCGAATCCCCATCTTCTGGGCGCTCTTGGACGCATGCATCGATCAGCAAGGTTCACTCGCTGTTGCATCCATGACCTCTTCATTTGTTTCTAGCTACGACGATTTATTTCACCTTGGCAGCAAATTGTGGCAAGATATCCACCCCACACTGACTCTCCCGGACACGCTTTTTGGCCTCACGAATGGCTTCCAGGAATGATCTCCCAAAGACATCACTGGGTTCCAAGGCCATACCTTCGGCCCATTCATTCATGGCGTTAATGATAATGAATCGATCATCTTGGTCACGACGTGTCTCGAGCCGCCGTTCCAGTTCCCCCGGGAAACAACATGCCTCATAGTAGAGAGATCCATAGAGAGATTGTTGGAATCGTTCGACCACCTTGGCGGGTTGATCGTTTGACCAGAGGACGGCATCTTGATAATTTCGTCGGGGTGTATTGTCAAAGGAACTCACAATGCCGGCAATGTCTGGCACTCGCGTGTAGGTTTCTTTTTGGTGACACCACTGCGGCACCTCCATGGTTCGGTACTGATTCCATCCCGACGGATTGGGATAAGCGACGGGTCGATCAAAATTTTCGCGGGCGACAGTGCTCCATTTTTGAGGAGGTGGTTTGTATTGGTTCGGATTGGAAATGGGTTGCAGATGTGTGTGTGGCATGGTCAATCCCACGGTCAAGTAGAGTCCTGGGAATCCATCTTGTCGTGCCAATTCTTTGAGCCGTTTCAGCACGGGAAAGGAACCTGGTTTCTTTTGGTAGAGCATAAAGAGTGGTTTTCCATCATCGACTTTGATGTAGTTTGGATGATGAAAGAATTGTCGTAACCATTGATAGTGTTGTGTAATGGCTTCATCGGTTTGGTTGGTTGGGAAATATTGCTTTTGCAAAACATTGGGTTCATCAAAGACAAAATCAGGACGGACATTTCCACTCCATGTATTCACCCATTTGCTGGAATATCACAAGACAAGCGAATTGGGGCGTCAAATTGCTCTACAAGTTAGCGGCATGCTGCTCGTACCGGTATATGGGCACAACAATTCGTTTTCGTCGTCACTTACCTGGCACACCAGTGCAGGGCAAACGGCACATCCGGATATCCATCTTTCAACATGGCTTCTAGCGGAGCCTCCAGGGTGGGACCGGGATGTTTTGGATCATAGAACCAGTAATGATGAAAGATGAGTCCATCCAAGCCATACTCTTTGACCAATTCTCCCTGTTTTCGACGTGGCTCAGATTGAGAATAATCGTAATATCCCAGTTCTGTCGGCCGAGGAATGGCAAATCCTTCCCGATTGGTTTTGGGTGCATTGCGCAAATTATCCCAATCCGTGAATCCTTCTCCCCAGAGTCGGTCGTTGATTTTATCGCGGTGAAATTGAGGAAAGACAAATGCCAAGACACGGGGTAGAAAATTGTTGGAGTCATCTTTTTGCAGTATTTCTTGTGGTTGGTGTTCTTGTGGTTCTTCTTGGGTAGAGCTACCAGCAGCACCACCACCAGCAGCAGAAGAAGTTGATTGTTTCATTTGCAATGTTTTGTCATTTTGTTGTTGAGTACCGGTAGTAGAGACGGTCTCCAGCTTTCGTTCTGCCAGAGGCGTATGGTTGAACGGCTGAGAAGATGCCGACAAGATACCTAAATGCTTGGAAATCACGGGTCCTCCCAACAGATATCCCACAACTAGCACATACGCCAGGATACACCACTGAAACAGCGGAAACAGTCTACCCTTCTTGGATGTTGCGCTCTTGCTACTTCTACCGCCTTTGACCCGTGTTCTCATGGCTGCTTGTAGATGCTTTCTAAAAGTGGCCCTAACTCAACTATAGGATCATTACTGTTGGTACTTGGTCAATGATGAGATGTGGTATGGTATGGTATGGTACAATGGGGATGCTGCCTTGGCAAGAAGACAAGTCCATGGTTGGTGCCAAATTTTTTTGAAAGCGGCTTTGCCAAAAATCTGAGCGGTCAACGGTTGCCCTACAATAGCTATGGTAGCTTGCTTGCTTGCAGTTAGTGCGCAGAGCAGTGAGGCCTCGACTGAGTTCGAATTCGCCTCGAGGCCTCGGGCGGACTGGGGGGTGGAGAAATCCAGTGCCATCCAATGTCAACCAAGGTAAACCATGACCAAGACAGTGGTAGACAGTGGTAGACAGTCATACGATTTTAGCAAAGAGTGACTGGATTATTAAGTAAATCTTACTGAAACAGGTCACCAACTGCTTGACAGTGGTAAACAGTGGCACTGTCAACCACTTTCTTTTTTGACAGTGGTAAATACTGGTAACAAGTGCCGAAAAAGTGCTAAATATAGCGGTAAACAGTGGTAAGCCATGTTGAAAGGCACCACTATTTCGCGAAACAGTGGTTGACAGTGGTTGGCAGTTATCCCATGACTGAAAGCAGTGGAAAGCATCGGTTGGCTTTGATTTTCTCCATCCCCCTACCATTCTGACCCTGCCTGAATCGGAACGGGACTAAAAGAGCTAAAATTCCGCACACAAAGAATAGATAGTTTTCACGTGTTGCTGGTCTTGGTCATCCTCGTTCAGCTAGCCAGGCTCATGATGTTACCGTGGATGCATGCATGGCCAACCTCTGGCATCCCATCCCCACACAAAATGCACAGTCCATTCTGGTGGTACTAAAACCCCATCGCAACCGCTTCATTACACGGGCACAAAACTTTGCGAGGCAACGATCGAGAAGCCGCAGAAGCAACGACGACTCGACCGTTGTTTGATCGCGTAGACAACACTCTGCCATACGATACAGTACGTAAAACCAAAAGATGGAGGAAGACAATGTCAAAAGAGCTATAGACTGCAGCTCGGCAGACCTATCCGGGCAACCCAAGCGAGCCAAAAGACCCTTACATCTACCGACAGATGATAATGACCTTCTTGGGGTGTTCAATAGAGATGCCACGGAGGCGCTTTCCCATGCCTTACGGCACCTCCAGGCACAAAAGAGCAGCAGCAAAGCAGAAGCAGCTCAGGTGCTCAAGAAGGTACTGGGTATACAGAAACAGGTGAATACACTTTTGGATGCAATTGTCCAACAGGCATATACCAATCTTAGGCATGCCCCAGAAGACTCCTTTTTGAAGAATGAGGATATTTGGATCAAAGGGGTTTTACCCTTCCTTGGCTTGGGAGAATATGCCTATTTGGCACCCGTCAGCCACAACATGAAACGTCTATACAAAATGTCCTGTGAAACTGTGGAAAATCGTCCTAAGAAGTACACTGCTCGCGGACTTTGGACCGAGACTCTCTACAGGGCAACATTCTACACTGTGTCACGTGCAGAATATTGGTTCTCCCACCAAAATGCGGACACCGCTGGAGAAATCCCTGGCCATGCCGTCTGTGCTCAGGCTGCCAAAATGGGCAATCTTACCGTTCTTAAATGGGCCCGAAATAATAAGGGATTCCAATGGGATGACCAAACATGCAAGAACGCTGCATCACATGGTCACTTGGCAGTGCTGATATATGCTCATGAAAATGGCTGCCCTTGGACGGATCAGACATGTCTAGAAGCCGCCAAGAATGGCCATTTGGATCTCCTCACGTACGCCCATGAAAATGGCTGTTTGTGGACAGAAGACACATGCCGCAGTGCTGCGGAAAAAGGTCATTTGGCAACCCTCAGGTACGCTCATGAAAACGGTTGTCCGTGGACAGAAGGAACATGCACAGAAGCTGCCAGATATGGGCATTTGGAATGCCTCACATACGCCCATGAGAATGGCTGTCCCTGGGATACCCAAACATGTGCAGAAGCTGCCAGATACGGACATATGGAATGTATTACTTATGCACATGAAAATGGCTGCCCCTGGAATCACACGACAAGTGCTGCTGCTGGTTTTAGTGGCCGTGTGGATATCCTCAAATATGCCCATGAAAATGGATGTGAATGGAGTGACGAGACTTGCAGTAATGCTGCCGAAAATGGATTTTTGGAAATCATAAAGTATGCCCATGAAAACGGCTGTCCATGGGACGAAGACACATGCAGCCACGCTGCGTGGGAAGGCCATTTGGATATCCTAACTTATGCCCATGAAAATGGGTGTCCCTGGGACGAAGACGCATGCAGCTACGCTGGTGAAGGCGGCCAGTTGCACTGTCTCAAATTTTTACATGCAAACGGCTGTCCATGGGTGGAAAGAACATGTTCTGCTGCTGCTGAATATGGTCACTTTGCTTTCCTCAAGTGGGCCCATGAGCATGGCTGTCCATGGGACAAACGTACATCCAGCTGTGCTGCTTGGTTTGGCTATTTAGACATCCTCAAGTACGCTATCCAGAATGGTTGCCCCTGGGAGGAGGCAGAGCTGCTGAGGACAAAACATGACCATGTCAAGGCGTGGATTCGAGACAACCTACCATTATCCCAGGGGAATGATGGAAATTTGAATGCTGGAAATTTACTGTCCCCAGTACGATAACGGGGGTTTAGAGTAGGTAGATTATGTCCCTCAGTACGGATTCAGATTTGAAGCCACCACCTCAAGCATAGCGCGATCAGATTGCACGTGGGTGTCACAACTTCCTAAGGAATGCTAGAGGTGGCAAGTTCCATCCTCGCAAAAGGTTAGCTATTCCTCATGGTTGCCAGCTCGTTTTGAGACTCTAAGGTTGCCATGGACTAGTTTGCAACCTGACCCCTTGTACTGGTGCCTCTACTAGCTAGCGGTAGGGGAAGGAATGCAGCAGCATCATTTAGTGTGCCAGCCAGATGCCGTCGATTGTATGCTACAATCGACGGCAACAACGTACATTCTCCTTGGCTCGAGACAGCCGCCTAATCCTTCTTTTCCTTATCATGTTGGGGCAAAAAGAATTCGGCCAGTTCGGTATGGCCAAAACATGCTTGATACGACGTCCACAACTCGGGAAGCGCTGAAGCGTCGGGTATGCCGTCCAAATTCCGCTCGCCCCGTTTCCCCGCCAACAACTGGGGCGCATCTTCGGGTGTCAACGGAACGTGGCTCTGCAGCTGACGCAAGAACAATCTCCCATCGCGTTTGTGCTCTTGTATATGCTGAATCACACGACCAATTTCATCATCGGCCAATGCGGCGGCATACTCCTGGTCGCTGCGGCTCCACAAAAACGAAGCAATGTGGTCTTGGACGGCATCGGGTAACGTCGTACGCACGTCCCTGTAGGTTGCAAACCCTGTGACGAGCTTGCGATGCCTAGCCAACGATCGGATGCACACCAACAAGTACATGTTGGAAAAGACGCAATCGTCCGAGTCTTCCGTGTCTTGTTCAAAGAGCCCATGAAGTGCCAAGAGCGGATACTGAGCTTTTTGTCGACTCTGATCGGATGGAGCGGGTGAAACATCGTTTTCGTCTTGTGGATTCTCGGGAGCATCCCAACTGGAAGTATAGGAATACCAATCCAAGAGCAACTGGGCATCCCCGCCCAATAGCGCCATGAGACAGAGGGCTCTCGGTTCGGCCGCAAGTCCGCGATGAATGCGTCGGGCGCCCCACACGAGACAGTGCAAGTAGGTTTTGAGCGCTAGTCGCAAATAAAAATGGTTTGTCTTACTACATGTAGTAGTAGCGTGGCGTGTTCCCACCTGCACCAAATAATCGGCCCATCGAATGCGATTGGCGACACCCGCCAAAATTCGCACATCGTCTCCCCGTGCCAAGGAAATGCGCGGTGTGGATGATCGGGGCATTTCAGGATTTTGTCTCATTTGACAGTGGTGCTGGCAGATGGAGTAGTGATTTTTGGAATGAGATGCACGACAAGACTCGGAGCAGTAACACTCCAAGAGGCAGTTCTGACACTGAAAAGACAGATTGGATTCGTGGACGCCACAGCCACTACAGAGAGGCAGTGTTTCGTCTTGTAGCAGTGCCTTGAGTCGTTCAGGTATCATATCCATCATCCTGTCGTCGTAGATGCGTTCCATCTCCTGTTGTAAGGAAAGAGACATGTTGTCTGTAACGTACTATGGTACCTGAAGTGGGTATCGGAAGTGGAAGCGTAGTGGAGTAGTGGTGGTGATGTTGCTGGCTACCGGTACAGTACATTATTATAGCTACTGGTGCTGTGTTGTGGGTTGTGGAGCTTGGGTCGTGGTCCTCAGTTTCCCCCCTGATCCCCGTAATAACTCTTCCACTCTGACTACTAACCCCCCTAAATCCCCCTCTGATTTTGCGTAAAACCGTTTTTACACGCAACCACGTCAAGTGTAAGCCCAGAGTTAACCCCCCTTGTAAATCCTATAGTTGGTACCGGTACGGAGCTGGTTTTTACACGAAAGATCCTTTCTGGTTCGTGCATCCTGAACCCTAAAGCTCAACCGTTCCAACAACAATTTTGTGAGGACGAGACACAATGATGACCAGAACGACGGTACACCGGTACCAGTTCGGAAGCTGGCAGCTTCATTCATCTCTGTGTTGCTGGTGGTGTTGGTTGGCATAACAACCGTTCGTCGTTACTCTAGCAGCTAGAGGCAAAACAACTCGGAACAAAGACAACAAGAGCCAACTAAAAGAGTTACTTCCAGCTTAGGCAGTGGAGCAAACAAACTTGATGGTCTTGATCCCACACACGCACTAGTGGAAACAATCCGATTCGATTCTCGTCCCAATCGAAAAGATCATCAAAGATCCCTCAAGAGACCAGATAGCACCTGGCAACTGCAAAACAATAAGAGTCAGGCCTTCAGTCTCATAATATTCTTGGTCGCTTATTTGACTTCATAATAAACCAAGATAGATCCTCGCCCACTGCCAGTTTGCTTAAGCGACGCTGCAGCGTACCGTAAGTACTACTAGCTAGTACTCACTTGTGTCGATCCCTGTCTCATCTGTCATCTGCCAACCGGAACGAAAGCGGCACGGTCGACCAGAGAAAGTGTGGCTCCAACATTCCCAAGGAGCTCCCACAGAAAGAGAAAAAGTTCGCAGCTCCCTAGCTGCCATTCTTCTTGAGGAACCATGGTGAACAATACCGATCAAGTCAAGGAACAACTGCAGGGGTCCATGGGCAAGCAGTTCCGGGCCATGGGCTTTCAGCCCAAACATCCCGTGGCACTCTTCAATTCCCTGAGTGGCAATGTCATTGAAGTGATCGAAAGCGATCGCATGCCCCACTGGGTGGCCAAGCAACCCAATGGAGCGGACGGTGGTGCCTTGTGGGTCGACGTTGCCAAAGTCACGAGCGCCGCTATCGGCAACATTACCGGTATGGGACATACCAACACCAAAGCCCATCGGATTCAAAAATGGCACGATGAACTCATTCACATGATGGACTCGGACAAGGATGGAGAAGTCGATACCGAAGAACTTATCACCTTTTTGACCCAAACGGCCACTCTGCAAGATGATCAACTCATCAAGAGTGTTCTAAAAGAAGCCGAGGGCAAAACGACCATTCAGCTCCTCAAAGAACTGGGACCCTGCATGCCCAAAGTTTTATCCGCATTGGTCAGCGCCAAATCCAATGCCGAACAAGAAATTCAAGTAAAAAATAAGACCATCGAGTACAATTGGGAAGCGTCCACCGAATTTGCCAAGCACATGCAATTGAAGGGTGGATACGCAGACCCGGATGGCATCAAAGTACGAGCACGCAGTGGACTCGCTTCCATGGAATGTCTCGTCGCGAACGATCCCGGCGGTGTCATGGCCAAGTTGGGAGCGGCATTGATGTTGCCCGTTACGACGGCCTTGAAGGATATCGGATACCAGGAAGGTGTCAACCTACGCGGATATGGATACGATTGGCGTGTCCCCTGCACCAAGTTGGAAAAACGAGAACAGTACTTGAGTAAAACCATGCAAGATATTGCCGAATTGGTCGCCACCAACAAGGGGCAAAAGGCCGTCGTCATTACACATTCCTTGGGAGGTGTCATGGCCAGTTACTTTTTTCATTGGGTCGCCCATTCCGATTATGGTAAAGCTCATGGTGGTGTGCAGTGGTTGGAAGAGCATATTCAAGCCTTTTTGCCTGTTGGAGGGCCCATGCTAGGGACCCCGTATGGGAGTCACTCCTACATTACCGGTGATGAAGGTCAAAACTTGGCACCCGCTGTGTTTAGCTATGCCGATCGACATCTTGTCGTGCGAAGTTGGGGCATGTTTGGCATGATTTTCCCCTGCGGGCAACATCTCATGTTACAGCCCACGCAGTCGGTGCACTGGGTACGACGACAAGGCTGTCTCAACGTACACGTTCTGTCGGTCCAAATGGCAGGCGAACAAGTTGACAAAGACGACAACACAAATCTTCAATACTACGTCATGGCGGGCATCAAACACCATACCACGGGAAAGGTGGCTAAGAAACTAAAATGTACGCCCATTCAAATGAGTTCTCATGGAGCCATTGACGAACGATTGTTATTCTACTGGAATACCGGTCCCGAGTCCGTGGAAGGAACTGTGTTGACGGTTTCCTTGTGGCGCGATTGGGTCGGACCCATCGACAAGGAACTTGGTCGAGGGACCTTTGAGTTGGGTGAAAACAAAATGACCGTGGTCGAAGGGCCCAGCAAAGGCGAGACTCTTCCAGGACTGACACGCAACGAATACGTCGAGGTGCAATTGCCGTTGAAAGAAAAGGCTGCCGATGGACTGGAGGTGACTGCCACTGTCAGGCTCAAGTTTGTCCCCTTTGACGAGAACAATATGCATAATGACTTTCGGCGCAAGGACGACCCCGGTGCGTACCGTTGTGGAGGACCCGCCGATGCCTGTACGTCGCCGGCAAAGCAAAGCCAATTGTTGAAAGCACTGGGCCCCGAACTAGGCAAAGAGTGGGCTCCGCTATCGACCAAGGATCCATCCAAGAAAGTTACGTATTCACCCATGTCGATCGATCAAATGTTTGTACTGGATGAAATGGTTGGCAACTATGAGGCTTGGAAAGAGTGTTATGCGGACGATCCCATCTGGCGAAAACATTCCACCGAGCCACCCGAAGGAGTGAACAGGATCCGACCCATCTACGGGATCAATATGCCGACACTGGTGGGCAATGTCTACAGACGCTCCAACAAACGGATTGCCAGGTACCAACCCAACACTTCACTCGACCTGGATACCGATTGCAAAATCGAACATGATGGCTACGCATGCAACAGAGGTATCATTACGGAAATGCCGCACAAAACGCCACAAGCGGACGATCCTACCAAGCCATTGTCGGAAATGACGTTCAAGAAGAGATGCAGTGGAGATGGAACCGTGGCGTATTGGAGGTAAGATGGTCGGGTAAGATGGTCGCGATAAAGAAAGTTTGATTTTGCCAATTGCAATGCTCATCATCGTTTTCGATGCAGTCTTCGATGGCCCATTACTTGGAAGGAGCGCGGATACGATGTCAAAATGACGGAAGTGGAGGGTGCAGGCCATCGAGATATTCTCGAAACAATGGAATGTTTGGAAACCTGTCTCGTTGAATCTTGCAGTCGCCCTGCAAAGTATGTGGAAATCATTATGGAAAGTATCACTTATACAGCAGGATCGAGTTGTTTGTCGTGCTGCTTTAATGTCTGTTGCTGCTGCCTGGTTTGCCTTTGCAAGTGCATTGGACTGAACACGGACAATGTCTTTGCGGAATTGTCTTGGCACGACAACACCTTTACAACGGAGCCGCTGTTGGCCAATTGGCGTAGAGGCGAGCGCAAGGTCGAGTCACAGCGACGATTTGTTCTGGGTGTGACCCAAGAAGATTTTGACAAGGGCGCCTGTATTGGTTTGTCCATCAATACAGCAGTTCAGATGGACATTTCCTTTGGACCCCAGGCATCTGGTACAAAGTCGGTGGGGGTGAACATCAACGACTTGTTGAAAGAGACCACAGCACAGTCACAGGTTGTGAAAATGGGCACAAGCTCTGGCGCCAGGCATGCAATCAAATGGAGCTGGCGTTGGGGTGCAGCAGATGATTCTGGAAAACCAAACTTTGGCTGAAGCAATCCTTTGACGAATATTGGATATTTGCCAATCGAAAACTGAATGTTCAAATGGTTTTGTGATTCTGTGAAGTCATTGAAAGTGCACCGATATTGTTGTTGTATAATGTTGTTGTAACAAACTAAGCACGGTTCTAGCAGACTACATTCGCTTGATTATGTTATCTCCGTTTGAGATTCGGCATAGGGCGTGAAGAATCACGTAAATGCACCACACTGGCACACTGATCTTTAACGAGGATAGTAAACGTAGCAGCCATAGTACGAGAGACAATAAAAAGGATACCTCAATGAACAAAAAAAGGTCTCTCAAGTACTATTAGTTCCTTCCGTTGTTGCTGCCTCTGGAACATGGAGAATCCCTGCAAAAATGTCACTGGAGCAAAAGAGAGATGCCGGTTTGGTAAATGTCACGGGTGTATTCTTGTGGTTGCTCTTGTTGCCTTTGCTATTTTTGCGCCGGTTGCGTTCTTGTGCAATGAGTGATGCGTACGAATGCTGTGCCATTTCATCCAACTGCAACATGGGTGATTTGAAATCTTCTCGTCCAATGGATGCTGCCAACGTACTCACAGCTGGCAGATAGTGCTGCTCCAACGCGTGTAGTTCCCACAAGGATGATTGCAGGGCATGCGATTGGACGGGATCGTCCGTGTCGGCATTGTAGGGGTCTTTGGTGGTGCTACTGGTCTGAGTGCTGTTGCGATGAATCAAGGCAGCACATTCTTCGTGTTGTCGCAGTAGATTGGAACAGAGGGCCAAGACAAAGAGTGCGCCCGGCGGTGGCACTTGAAGGGCACACTGTAACATGCGTTTCAAAAAGGCTGCCACCAAGTGGGCTGGTAGCATTTCATTCCGAAGAAGACATTTTTGCAGCAAGGCAAAGAATCGTGCGCGGTATTTGACATAGAATAATTTTGGCTTGAGAATGGCGTAGAGTTGCGTGTAAAAGTGCGGGTACTCCAACTGATGTTGCGTCATCAAATAAAACAATCCATCCAACGCCAAGAGGGGAATGATAGTGTTGGCATGTTGATGCCTACCACTGGCAGTTTTGTTGGGAGTAGTGTCATCACTTCCAGTGGCACCTCTGTATGCCTTGATGAATAGATCAGCAAACCGAAGCGGTTGTTGGATTTTTGGCAGTACATGCTGTGACAGATACGGGAGTGCCTTCTTCAGACTAGCCGTGGAGAGAGGCAACCGCAGAATGGCCATCCAAGCCTTGGCCAACGCCTTTTTATGATATTTGACATCTTGATAGGCAAAGTATTTGGGTGCGTGTCGTTGTTTCTTTTTGGGAGGAAGTTCTTTTTCTTTGTCGTCATCAGAATCTTCGGCATCTTCTTCCTCGTCACTGCTATTGTTGCCTTGTTCCTCTTGGCTGTCTTCGTCATCCGAGGCATCTTCGTAGGACTGCTCCTTCTCATTATTCTTACTGGAAGAAGACGATTCCGGAGGAGGAAACAAATGCTTGTTGCCTGGCATATCCAATGCGCTTTGGGTCGTGGGAAAGGGAATCATCATCAAAATGTACAGCATGCGATCCGCTTGTTCCAAGGAGCCTTCCTGCTGTTTGTTGCCTTTTGTTGTTTTGTACATGTCCGTGGCCCACTGCGCAATACACCTCAGTGCGTAGTACTGAACATCTCGTTGCATCCATTCGGCTTCAATCAAATGCTTGAGCGGTTTGTCCTGACGGACATCCACCGGCATTTGAACCACGGCCGCTAACCACGCACCCAAGAGTTCTTCCTGCAAATGGACATGTTGTCCTTTAGGCGTGACAGTGGGAGAAGCCGCCATTAATCCCCACAAGGTTCTCACAGCCGTGCGTCGCCCCTTTTCAATCCGACTGGTCAATTGGGTGACGGTCTGTTGATGCTGCTTTTGGAGCCAGCCATTCCATTTATCCGTAGCAGACGAGGATTTCTTCTTGTTTGACGATGTTTTCTTGTGTGTCTTCGAAAACGACAAGTCGCCCTGTTGGATCAAGCTGGCCAAGATTTGCCGCAATTCATCCAGACGGGCTGCATCGGCGCGTTCATCCTTGGATATTTCCTTCAAAAGAGACTTGATTCTAGTGGCCGTCTCTTGGGCGGAGGGTTCCGAAGAAGACGCCTTGACCATGGTCTCTCTGTTTTTGTTGGAACACAGAAAAATGAAAAATGAAACGAGCGTTTTGATGAGGGTGGTTGGTGAAAGGAGCCTCCAAGGTTATGAGCTTCCATCATCCCGAGCCCTAATCTTCCGTACATTCCAAGCTCAAACCACCCACGGCATGCCTCTGGTGCTAATCGCATGTTGGCTTTTGTCTTTCATTTGCTAAGGTAGCTTAGTTGGAAGGTGGCTAGCTATATGGTGGATAAGGATTCTATACTTAGCCAGGCTCCCAGGAGATATGAGCAATTTTGTGCATCGGCAACTATGATCTACCGGTATGATACCCCGCTCTTTCAAATCATCTTCAGACACAGAGGCGGACAGGGCAAGCAATCAAGAATATCCAAGTTGCTCAGGATTTTTACTAATCATCAATGACAATAACATCAATCACTTCAACTTCATCCTCAACAATCTTTTGCCTGCATAGTCGGGCATCAATAGGCCGGGCTTCCTCGTCGCCTTGCTCGAGACGTCGCTTGCGTGGTCGCGATGCCCGTTCAGGTACACCTCGCAGTCCCTTGAAGATATGGGGACACTGCCGCATCAGGTAGTAATGCATATTCGTCACGTTCGTCTCATTCAATGCATTCGTTTCTGGATCTCGAAACCATGCATCCGGTTCGTTGTTGTGCTGTGGATTGTAGTCATCATCATACTCGTCATCCTCTTCGTCATCGCTGTCATCATCACTTTCGTCGTCGTTGCCAGGGTTTGAGGCCACATCAGCTGGTCGCAAAAGAGGGGCACACAAGATCTCCACCAACGTTCCAATGGATATGTTGGGATCTTCCACTCTGCTTCTCCCGCTGGCGTTCATCGTCGTAAAGAAGTTTATACTTGCCAAAGCTTCCTGCGAAAATGGAAGTTCGCTGTCCCCACATTCGAGCCGACACAATGTCGAGTTGTGCTGCTTCAGCAAATCTACAAACACATCTTGGTCTTTCGCCTCAATCTCACTGGAGACAAGAGATGTAAGGCTCTTGTTGGATCTCAATAGTTGGCCAATCCTGCCAACGTCAACTTGTAGCCCCGTGACCTCGAGTGACTTCAACCTCTGCTTGCCCAGCAACTTGGAGACAAGTGATGTGAGATCTTCTTTTGGCACCTTTGCTCTCATGGATTGGTCCTTTGTGAAGGAGAACACCAATGATTCGAGGTGAGGCAAGTCTGCCAGAAAGTTCAGGAATTTGAAAAGACTACGAGACGGGATGGTTGTATCCTCCAACCGGAGTGACTTGAGTTGCGACTGTTTGGCGCCAAAGGACACTTCAGGATTCAAATGTATTCTGCGGAACGACAACTGCGTGAACCTGCGTCGGAGATAGTTGGCAAGATCAAAAGTGCTTCCATGCCCGCGGCAGGCAATGGAGATGGCACCCAGCTGACGATTGAAAGAGATCTTGTTCCACACGGCAATGTTGCTGTCATTGGTTGCCACAGGCCCGTCGACATCAACTGTTGCTACCTCGCTTCTCCATTCCATCGACACAGTTTGAATCGACTGCTGGTTCATGATCAACCATTCTAGCCTGTCATTGTGCCCCTGGTCGGCTGTTCCATACTTGCAAAGCTGCACTCCTGACTTTTTGATCTGCTTTTGGATCTTTTGGCCTTCGTGATCATCAATCAAGAGCTTCAGAGCTCTCTCAGCCACTCGTTTGCCATCGCAAACGAAAGTAAACTTCTTCACTTTCTCCAGTATGAGCTTCAATAAGTGCATATCGTGCAGTGTCATGGCAATTCGATTGTCACACTTCCAGTTTTGGGCACCAAGGGTTACAAGTTTCTTTGCAACCGCTTTGACCACTCTCGGTCGTTCCGTAAGGCATGCGCGTGACAGGCAATCTTTTGGGTAGCTTTGCTTCAGCACACATTTGGGATGCTTCTGCAACATGTACTCAATGACCCTCCGTGGAGCTTTCTTCTCAATCGCAATATGAATAGGCAACTTTCCCTCTACAAGTTTTCCGAGAAGATCAGTGCATTCCTTGATCAAGAAACAGATGACGTCTTCTTCCTCGGAGCGATGTTCACAGGCAAACGTCAGAGGATAGATTTGCCTGCGCTTCCCCACTGAGACTGGTTTCCCGATAGCATCTGGAAAGAGGTTGTATACTCGCTTCAAGACCTCCTTTCTTGCACCGGTATATATGAGGTGCATCAATGGAAGCCATTTGTAGCGTTTCCCTTTTGGATGAAACCCTATTTGAGCCAACTTGGCATGTTTCTCAACGAGTTCGCAGACAACAGATTGCCAATCGGGGTTGCCAATGGAGTACTTTCGCTCGTCTTCCATGTACCGGCACTGGAACCGAGTCTCGTCACCTTCGTAGGCGCTGTCTGAGTCATCATGATGGACGTCTTCGAGGTTTTTGAGTTGACCAGTGTCTAAAAATATCTGCAATTGCTTTGCAGCATCTTTTGTTGGTCCATCATCTGCACCTTCGAACGAAGCTGCTCCAAAGCATTCACAATAATCGTGGATATCCAAAGCGTTCGGCATCGTTCGGTTTTGTTTGGTTGTTGGATGAATGTTGCTTTGCTTTGGGGTTTGACATCAATTCACCCCAAGCAGACATTCGGGCTAGCGACCAACTAGATGCGAAAGGCTGTCCATTGTTAGAAAGACGGGCTGCTTGCCGATGCCGTCGGGCTTCCTTTGTCACGTGCGTTTGGGGGGATTATGGCATCGGGCATCGCAGTGACTTTGATTTGATTGAGATTCAACGGCTGACTGCCGTGAGCTAGCCCGATGGCAAGACGACCTCTTCTAGCAGGCGACACAGTCAAAGTGACGATTGGCACTTTCGCAGCGTGAGAGCGCAATCCAACACGACGGGGGACGGGGAACACGTCCTGTGTTGCTTCTACCGGTACGTACGGTACCGTACCGGTACGATGGGTTGAGCTTCACGCGAGAGAGGCCAGCCACAAAGGTGCGTTTGTTTCGAAGTTGTGTACGGTTACTGCCGGTTGAAGTACTGGTAATACCGGTACTTGCCTCTATGAACTCTCATTCGTCCCGGATTTTAAGCTTGCCTTGAAATCCTAGTATTCTATGTTACATTACCCTTGATTATTCGGTTTTCCGAGTCTAAATTAATCTTCTGGTGCTTTGTTGCCCGTTCTTCTCATGCTTTCAGGGGGTGGTTGCTTCGTTGCTTCGGTGGCTTGTGTGGTGCAGGTTCCCTTGTTTCAGTCATGGATACAAGTGATGCATTCGTGGATATTTCTAGATTTCGAGAGCAGGGCGACATCTAACGTTGACGAAACCAGCCACTGGATCGCTGATCCCCTTGAAATTTTCCGGTTTTCAGGAAACAGAGAAGCCACAAAATAGACTTCTGCTGCATCGATTCTGGTACATTCATCTCAGTCCGTTACAATCTTTCGACCATGAACTCTCAACAGTTTCTAGCCATTTTGTCTATTGTTCTTGCTCTTGCAAGTGGAGCAGTCTCTGAGGCAACAACGAGAATGCGTGGCAGCGGAACAAAGAGAATCAAAGGATCTCATGACAACACACAGAACTTGCTTTCACGGACACTGCACGGAAGGGAAGCATTGCTGTTGAGTGATGTTGTACCCAACGAAGAAGAGAAAGGTGGAGAAAAAGATGACAATGCTGGCAGCGAGCAAGATAAGGGTGGAAAGGATGGCAAGGCCGAAGAGCAAGACAAGGGCGGCGACAAGGGAGGCGACAACGGAAAAGGCGACAACGGAAAAGGCCAGGGCAGAGAAGAAGAAGATAACAATATCAACGAAGAAAACGAGGAGCAGAATGATGAAGATGTTCTAACTTGTTTTGCAAACACTTTGGCCGCTGCACCAGAAACAGTAATATTCAGTGCTGACATTGTTACCTGTGCTACAGAGCTCATTAGCGGATTGGACGGCGAAATTCAGCTGGATGCGTTGCTGAATTGCCTAGGAACAGCATTAGACTGTGCCAACACTGACAATGGTAATAATCTTGGAGATCGAAATGACAACGGAAATGATAACAACAACCTCCTCGACTTGATTCCACTACCCCTGGCCGTACCCGTGGCCGGATCGCCATAACTTAGAGTGGGAAACAAAAATATGTATGTGATGGAGAACTGGAGCAGCTACAGTTGTCCGCAACTTTGAATGCGGCAACTAGATCTTGTGGAAAACCCCAAACGAACGATCAGCCCCCACGCAAATGTGGTGGTGTATGCGCCCACCCTCACTTGTCCAGTAGTGCCGGTATGGACTCCGTTATATTATGTGTTTGTAATCTAGCTATAACAGTATTATTTTAAGCCACTATTCAAAGCCTGACCACCGCCAGTTTTCATCATCTTGAGGGCTAGCTTCTGGGCATAAGTATAAGCATAAGCGAGGAACCTTGGCATTTGCCAGAGGAGACTTCGATACCGGACCCGTGGCAAGTGGCGGGAAGTTCTTGTTCTTTCTGCCTCAATCGTTGGATGGCAGGCTCCAAACATTCGGTTTCTGCTGCAGCAAGCAGTAGTGTATGTTGAGTAAATTCAGGGGGTCTTCATGCCAATCATCGATGCATGCGCAGTCGCATTCTTCTTCTAGGATGGGGCGACAAAGCAGATCCACAAATGCCGGCAAGGTAACATCATCGCTACGAGCTTCTCCCCTTCCATGGTCATTCAAGCGCATGTAGAAGTGCAGCAATTCCTTGCTGTTGCAGGAGAATGGAAGCGAGCCAATACCTCCCTGATTTGTTCCAATAGACTGCAAAGACGTGTTCGTTTCGTACAGCAAGTGAACGAAACACTTCTCGTGTTTCTTTGTGATGGCATCCATGGTCAGGTCGACAATGCTAGTGTTCTTCATGAGTGCCACACAAACTCTTTCAACGTCCAGGTCCAAGTTGCCAAGCGAAAGCCATTGAACCACGTCTTTGGATACAAAGGCAAGCGCTGCCTCTGTAAAGTCGACACTCGGCAAGTCATCGACGAAGCTGATTCCAGAAAGTTGCAAGAACTCCAATTTGACCATGTACTTGGCAAGATAGAACAACATCTCCTCCAGGCATTTGCCGGGCACGGAAAGATTGGTCAAAGAAAGCTCGTTCAGCACAGGAGTCATATTTGGATGGGGTGGCGATTGAAGCCACGTTCCATCGGCTATATGCAATCGTTTCAAAGATACAAATGCCAACCCTGGACAGGATGACAAGAGAAGGCCCAGGCAACTTGAATTTGGAAGCCAAACGTTGTCAATGTTAAGAAACTCGACAGTTTGATTGTGGGCAAGGCCTTCCAAAATGCCTCTTAGGATAAGTTCCATCGGTTGATCCCTCTGTCCAACGAATTCTAGGTGGTCCAGCCCTTTGTTTTGCTTCAAGAATGATTCAATCATGATACTTGTTTGCCGGGAGGGAGAATGTGACTCACCATCACCTGCCTCCGACACGAGCTTCAGTCTTCGGGTTGACTGATTCTCGCCCATTGCAGCGAAGACAGTGTCATTAATAGGATGAGACCAGTCGGAGCACGCGAAGATTATTTTACTCAACTGAGCCATAAAACTCGGCAGTGCCTTGCAGCGATATAAACGCTCTGCTAATGGTTGCTTGATGGTGTAGCTGTCCTTTTGTCTACCTAATGTTTCGGCCACCAAAGCAACCACATCATCCTTGGCTTTCCTTCTGGAACAGACTAAAGACAGGCAATCACGGGGCCCAGTCATCCGATCTTTCTTGGTGACACAATCTGGGTCCACCTCAAGGAGGATCTGGATTGCTGACTTGGAAGCATTGGCACGGATTGCCGTATGGATCGGAAGAGAACCATGGTACAAGAAAGATGGGCTTCGGGTCTTCAGTGCCTCTGGCTCCATTTCGGCCATGAATCGCACAGTCTCAGGTTGAATGTATTGCAAGCAGGCACCCAGGGTGACAGGGTACACGTGTCGATACTCCTGAAAGCACACACCAATCAACAAGACTCGAGGAAACATCTTGTAGACTTCTTCCAAAACTGGTTTACCTGCCCCTCCCACGAGCAAGTGGACAAAAGGGTACATCAAATCGTCTGCGTCTAGATACTCTTGAAAACAATGGGATAGGGGAGTCTCAGCGAATTTTGGGTACTTCCTTAGCACTTCCAGAACAGTCTGAATCTGCTCATCAGAGATCCCATCAAAATGAACATTGGCCAACGTATCCTTTAGTACCTCCCTTGCCCTCTCAGCTCCGAAGATTTCGTCAATACTTTCGCCATCAACATCATCGTCGAAGACAGAACGGGCATCGGCAGTGGATTGAGTACTACATGAAGACACGGATCCATCATCTGTGTCTTGATCTGGAAATGCTCCCATATCTGCCACGTAATAGACTGCTCCGTCATTAGAGGCTGTAATCGCATGGTCATTGAAGGCCATGGTGGAGAATTGGTTGAGCCCCCACCAAGCAACTGAATGTTCCCGCAAAAATCTGAGAAAGGTCTGAAATTGTGAGGGTCGGAGGGGAAGATCTACAAGCTAAAAGTATCTTCTCGGTACCGGAACATTAAAACTCCGAACTTTGCTGGATACCTCCTGGATATCGCTTACTGTACTTTCCGCAGCTATGTATGGGTACTAGTATGCATAGAGACGACCTGATACACATACAAACACTCGTTGTACATTGTCTGGTCTTGTCCTGGCCATAGAGGATTTTTTGTTTGCCGTTGCAGCCATCACGACGAGACGCAATAATATTACATGTAAAGTTTGCGAATCTCCGACACGGGTTTGTGAATGAATCAAGTTAGACCTAGCTATCATAGCTAGCTAGGACAGAAAACGAATGCAAAAAACAAGAAGTAGGCAGGCTCAGATTTCGGACAGCAGCAACGGCAAAGCACCACAACAACAAAACCAGAAGTGGTATTTGAATTTGATTGGAATGATAGGTGCTGTCCGCTTCTCTGTGGTTGAATCGAAGGAAGAAGGAAGCAAAGCCATTGGCTGGGACGAAGAAAGAAATAGAGCCAAGAGAGGTTGTGCAGATCGTAATGAACGGAAGGTGCGTATGTATGACTAGTGTCGGTTGTGTCGTCATCATTGAGGTACTCCTCTCTCACACATGCCACGTTTGTGCTGTGCGGGAACATACATAGCGAGTCAAGAAGGAAAGAAAGGGCGCAATGGCGGCGGAGCAGGAAAGAATACGGGGGCTAGGTCCGCCGATTCCTTGCTTACCTTGCGGATTTAGACCAGCAAGTTATGGAAGACCACCTATCAGGGAGAGAGTTGTGGCGGGTATTCTCGAGGAGTGGATTGGTCAGGAAACCCTTCAAGACTGTATCGACGCGTTCCGTCAGCGTTTCATCACCCCTGGGAATAATGTCGATCTCGCCGATTGGGACACCGTCCAAAGGCTGCAGCAGATAATGATTCAGTTCATGGTGAAGAATCTCTTCGAAGACCCTGTACCTGGTATCTGCCGCCGCTGAAGGAGAGGTAACAGCTGAAGGAGAGGTAACATCGGATAGCGATGCTGACCAGCATTGAATGGTTGCTGTATTTATTACCCGTCAAACGAGCGGAAGTGGTGGTCATTATCGATAGCCTCTCTGCGGTGTTTCCTTGGCGCCGCCGCCGCCGCTCTTGCTGTTTGTTGCTGCTGCCGCCGCTGCTTGGTGCTGTCTGTGAAGCCAAAGCACAAGGACAGAACCCGGAACCTGACAAACCAATCAAAATCAGTCCAGATCACGAGTGCGATTCAAGTACTGCCTACGCCTTTCGAGTTCAATGGAACCAAAGTCATCGAGGTTCTTCTAAGGTTTACTCCTTACGCTAGGATGTTTCTCGGAATTGGCGAAGGAGGGGCGCCATTGCCAGTTCCAATGTTGAAATATTTCTCGTTTATCTTTACTATCTTGTAAGAGGGGGCGCGGGGATATTCCCAGGTTCATGTACCGTAGCGGATGATGTTTCTCACCATGTATTTGAGAGGAGTGGTGGAGGCGCAGATGGAGGTTTTGCTGTTGCTCTTGTAGTAAAGGCCTTTAGAATCGCAGTATCCCTTGAGGAAGAAGTTGAACTGTTTGATGGTAGCAGAAGTTTTGTTGCTTTCACAGTTGTTATCCCTGAGGTCGAGGAAGCTGGGGCCGAGGTCCTCGTCTTCGGCTGAGGTGATGACGGAAAGGCTTAAAATTAAGCTGGAGGGATCCATGGTTTGTTGTGGACAACTCAGGGTTGTGAGGGATTTTTTATTGCGGGGGACGTCCCGACGGCTCTGATGAGGGTTGCTGTGGAAATTTAAGGAATGCAGTCGAGTACCTATCGGTACCCGTAGCTAGTTACGGTATGAATTTCTCTAGCTAGACTAGTTAGAAGGTTTGACAGAATCTGTCCGAAAGTTCGCGAATCTTCCACGCGAACCACCCAGCATGAAGTCTTGGAAAAGGGTTCTTCTTTCCAGCGGCCCACCGACTTGGATGTCAGTCAGCACAAGTCATTTTGTTGAGATTGTTACCACCGTAACCATGCTGGACCAAACGACTTTACTGCTCGCCTTGGCACGCTTCATGTCGGCGATTGGCCGTCTTTGTTTGGGTCCACTGCTGCCACTGTTGACCGAATCGTTGGAGTTTCCCGAAGATGCGAAACCGGCGCTCTTGTCCGCCTATTCCTCGGGCTACATTCTCACACAACTGGGTGGTGGATTCTTGGCCGATCAGTACGGCTTTGGAAGGATCATCACGGCCGTCACGGCCATTTCAGCTGGCGTCTTGTTGTATATCAGCTTGGTAGCTTCCACGGCAGCGGAATGGACCCAGGCCTACTTTGTCTTGGGCATTGTAGCGGGCCCTTTGTTCCCTGCTGGATCGGCAGCCATTGCGGCCAATGTCCCATCTGCTCAACGACCTGCCTCTGCCGCCATTGTCGACGCGGCAGCCAGTGCTGGAACTACCGTGGCGTCGTTGACACCATTGATTGCGTCTCAAGTCTTTCAAGGACAGTGGAAGATGGTCTTTCACATGACGGCCGTGGGATTGGCGTTTGTCGCCGTGACGGTCGCCACCTCCTTTCCATCATCCACCAATTCCCCCGACAAGAATACTTCAAAACACGACGAATCGACGACTCCGGAGAAACTAATACAAGAAGAGATTCTGCACCATCACCAAGAACAATCCACGCTGTCGGCACTGCTACACCCACTACACCTTTTGACCTACATTTGCCATTCGGTCGACAACTTTTCCAAATATTCCATCAACTCTTGGGCGGCCACCATGTTAGTGGCACAGCACCAAGCGTCCCCCGCCTTGGTGGGCGGCATTTTGGGATTGCAAGAAGGCGTCGGAGTCCTGTCCAAAGTCCTAGTGGGAATTCTTCTGGGCGGGACCAGTGCGAGTAGAGGCATGGCGTCGGCAATTGGCTTTGGCATTCAGGGCTTTGGTTTGTGGATGGCCTTTGGAGCCGCCATGGCCACCGAAGCCGGAGCCTTTTTGTTGATGAGTGCCATTGCCGTGGGAAGTCATTCTATTGGGTTTCGACCCATCTACGTGGAGGGGTATCATGCCGGTGCCGTCAGTGGATTTGGGAATTCGATTGCCAGCTTTGCCTCCGTACTGGGGCCTCTCACTATTGGAACGGCAGTCCGACCCGATGGGAATAAAGATTGGCCCATGGTGGCAGTGTGGATGTTCCTTGTCAATATGATAGGGTCTCTAGCAGCCATGGGGATTGCAATGATGGGGAGGGTAGAAGAGGCTGAGAAATCCAGCGAGGGAAAAAACCGTCAGAACTAGCTGACAATGTAAGACAAACAAAACCCAAAGCTATACTAGCTAGAAAGATCGTGTGCTTCACAATCCACACTGACTTGAAGGCTTGACTGTTCGTGGAATCTTCCCGCAGGGACTCAATCATAACACGCGAGGCATCAGCACGAAAGAGAGATTTCATGCATGCTAACTTGCTAGCGAGACTACCAGTCTACCCCTCTGCTGGCACCTTGCTCGAAGCAATCCCAATGTCGACAGATATCCTTTACAAACCTCAACAAGTAGAACAAACGCAGTTATTTACTTTTAGAATCCAATTGCTTCAATTTACGTGCTGAAAAGAGAGTGTGCGTTGGTTACACTGTATCCATGGACTCGGGATGAGCTAATAGTCACTGGCTTTGGCAATGTCCAAGTCACCCACAGCAATAACATCAGACATGCAAGCCTCTTTCCTCGCAGACTCTCCAAGATAAGCACAAGCACTGGCAGCTTCCTCCTTGCTGATGCTTTGCTCACCCAGTCTTCTTGAATTCTTCTTTGCCATCTTGTCAGCAGGAAGGATACATTTGTGGGGAGCCTGGGGTTCTCTTGTTAACTGGAACAACGAAGCCTCATATGGTTGAACCTGCCACTCCTGCCCAAAGGCATCGGTATCTTCCATCACAGTTACACCATCTCGGGCCAACAATTTTCCATCAAAACTGCCCATGATCCCAACACTCCTGGCCCAGTGCTCCTTGGTGGCACCGTGGATCTTGACAGAAACCATATCTTTGAAGGTACCGAAGACAATGGTTTCATTGTTGTGGCTGCCAATCTTTACTTGAAATCTGTGTTGCTTTGTGTCACTTTTGGCCACAGTGATGGGAAAACCATCCAGGTCAGCATTGGCAACACCATTGAGCACATACTGACCCCAACCAGCAACTTCAAACACAAGGCTCCCAAGAGTGAGGATTGCAATTTCAATGAAGGAATAGGCATATCGGATGGTAGTGCGGACATGAATAGTCAAGTCATCTCCATTGTCAAAGTCAGGTACATGTACTAAAACAGTGTCACTTTGCAATCAAAGGAATATGATGCATTAGATGGCATTATATACGGGTGATCAACACATACAACGGACAACCAACAAAGGAACCTACCATTCACCATGCCAGTCGAACCAAGTGTTGTTCCAAGTCTAGAAGAACGGCAAAAATGGTGGTACATTAGCTGGTGAAGGGCATGATCAAAAACACTGAAAATACCCAGGATCTCACCTGAATGTGTGGGTCATCCATCATGCCTGCATTGACAGGTGCCCCAGTATTTACTCCTGTCCCCTCTGTGGGCAAGATGTCAGGAGTTTGGCAGTTCACAAAGGAATTTCCGGTCGCAGCGGCCACAAAATCACACTGTTCGGCCCAAGTCCTGGAACTGGCAACTGGCTTAAAGCTCGGGTCCGCAACACTGCAACAAGCCTTGGTGTTGTCACAGCTAAAGATAGGAGTGGACACAGACATAAGACTACATTCTTCTTGATGTGTAGTACAGAGATTGCATTCTGGGTACGGATTGCAAGCAGGACCACCATCATATTCATCACAGATTGCTGGTCGGTTCGGGGCTGGTCGGCAGCAACGAAGTAGGTCAGCCGAAGAGCTGGGCAACCATAAGGCGATGGCGCTAATAAGAACATGGGATTGCTTCATTGCTTTATTTTGATTGATGGTTAGAATTGTGAGTGCTCTTGTCTCGTTCTGTTTGATTGTTGTGGTTTCCTTGGTTGCACTCCGATCTGGAAAGCTATTAATAGCTATGCATAGTCATCCCACCGTAGTCATGGTCCCTAATAACCCTGCGGTAATGGCCAGCATCTAGAGCTTTGTCGTCAAACGTCAAACGCAAGTGGGAATCAGAGTCGAGTCAAAGACTAGAAGAGTGTCTGAGTCAGAGTCGAGTCACAGAGTGTCTGTGCTGAGGTGCTATTTACCGTCCAATCCCCTTTTCCATTGCACTTGACGACGAAGATTTACTGACAGCCAGCAGCTAGACTACGCTGTACTGGTACATGTGTCAAACGATGCGAGAGGGAGGCAAAGTCGAGTCAAAGAGTGTCTGAGCTGATTTACAGTACAATCCTCTTTTCAATTGCACTTGACGCCGAAGATTTAACAGAGCATTTTGGTTGCTGGCTCAAAGTTACAACATGCACCAGTACGCCAGTACGACTAGCCAAGAGCTAATACATGTAGTTGAACAAGAGTACATGTACAATTATAACTAACTGTGTGCGAACATGTACAATGTACATGTACCGCTGGCCCAGCAAGTTGCACAGGAACAGTCACGATAAAAGCCTTAAAGGCCAAAATGACCGTAGTCAAGCCTTCTAAGTCATATAGCCATATAGCCATATAGCCTATTTAATAGTCTATGGATAACTTCGCTGTGATTATTCATAAAGGCAGTGTGATATATGTCTCTTCATTCTTCATTTCATGGACAACCATTTTCACAAGCCCACTTCACACTTCACACTTCAGAAGTTCCAAATAAATGGCCATTTCGAGCAGCATGCCACCATGTCCATTCACACCATAACTCCATGGACACCCATTTTCAGTGGGGGGTGCCTCAAACGAACTAGTTTCGTCCCTTCCTTTCTTACCCCACCTTTCTGACAGTTTGGCGATAAAGGTTCCGTCTTTAACCCAATTTAGCTATTTTTATTCGCTTTTTACCACCTTGCCTTCAACAGCCTGTTTTACCACCATTTTACCGCACGTTTACCGCCTAATCACCACTTGTTTGCCGCTTTTTACCGTCTTTATTAGTTTAATTACTCTGGACCGCCTTTGACCACTCCTTACCACCTTTTGGCCATTGACATGTGTACAAAGTCCAGGTGGTTGGGGATATAATAAAACACACCAGGTTGATTTGAGGCACCCCCCGTACCGTAGCCCACTTTAGAACTTCCAAACATTTTGAGCAGCAAGCAAGCATGTGAGTTCATTCCATGGAACATTTCGTGTGTACGGTATTTGATACTATAGCAGTTTCAGTACTCTTCCAGGATCTCACAGGAACAAGTATCTTGTCACATACGGTAAGCCCCTTCGGCAGGCTCGATTCGATCTCCACCAAATCTATTACGGAACGGTACCTACCGGACCTCTGTGGAAACTCAAGTCATGCTACTTTTCGTCTCCTAAATCCTTTTGATCGTCTCCTATTTAATGGATTTCGTCTCCTAAAAATAGGAGACGAAACGGATCGTCTCCTAAATCTTTTGTCTCCTCTTAAAACGTCTCCTATTTTCAACGGATCGTCTCCTATTCTCAACGGATCGTCTCTTAAGTGTACCATGTAAACTGTATGGTATCGTCTCCTAAATCTTTTGGATCGTCTCCTATTTCGAAATTTTCGTCTCCTAATTGTAATGTCTCCTACTGAATCGTCTCTTAAATATAGGAGACGATTGCTTTCGTCTCTTAAATCATTTTGATCGTCTCCTATTCCTCGCTGTATCGTCTCTTAAGTATTTTGCCACGAATGACGTTTCCACAGAGGTCCCGTCCGGGACGACCAGAAGGGCGAAAGCTGTAGAAGGCAGAAATCTGATTGGCTAATCAACCTATGACATCAGCAAATGAGTCGGCGAAATTCAAATATACTTAACGTACCGTTTATAAAGATTACAGGGAAACTGTGCTACCTAGTCCCCATTTTCGAGTTTCTGTTTTCGCGAAAGAAGGATTCCTCTTCCTCCGATCGCGACAATGACATGCTGCCGCTCGACAGTCAAGCGACAGTCATTATCTCGGCAGCAGCAGCAGAAGAGAGCATGGAGCCACCAACAGCAGCAGGAGCTACCACTCACAATGGAGAAATGGGCTGCCAAAGTCAACAGAGGAACTCGCAACAGAAGAGAGCATATCAACTCGCCTCCAACAACAACAACAACAGATCCAAGAGAGCCAGAGAAGAAGGACCACAAACGACACTGGGAGGAGAGGTAGCAGAAGTCTTTGATCCACTCAAGAAGTGTGTCATCTGTAAGGCCAGACATCTTGGTCTCCGAATCCCAAAAAGATCACACCACGTTCTCTGTATTAAGAATACAGTAACAAGAGGAAGAGGAGATTTGAATGAGCTGACAATGGAAACTATCAGAGAGAGCAGAAGACTTACAAGGCACTTCAGTGCTCCTCTTCCACTGAATGAGAGAGAAGCTGGAAGCATTCCACAAGAGAGAATGGAGATGCCTTCTTCACTGCTAGAACGAAACACAGCCAAACCAAACCAGAGCCGGCAACAGAAGCAATCCACAACCAAGACAACTCCAGTAGCTCTTTGTCAAAAGTAACCACTCTTGTAAATAATACTGCCTTTGTGGAAAAGACAAAAGACCAAGGAGCACACTGGAATGCTAGCACTGGCAGAAGCTGTGTCAGAATCCATTATCAAGCCAAGGAATCCACAATTCCACCAACATTTTGAAGGACTCACAATGACTAGTCCATCCACAGAGAGCAATTCAAATCTCCACTACTACCACTCCATTGTTGGCCAGAAACTCCTCATGGTGGACTGGAATCGATGTGGAATTACTGTACCTTGTCCGATGGAAGATGCTCTGGCCAACTCAAGAATCGAGGCACAACTGGTCAAAGAACAAGACCTTGTTTCCTATCTTTGGCATCACTGGTCCTCCTTCTTGGTGTATGTCATGTCCATGGTTTGTGGAAGCTGCAACAGAAATTCGATGCCAACTCTGCAGAAGTGCTGGTCTCGATCCCAGACCATGTTTCATTGCTCTATCCAGTGGAGTCCAAGTATGCTCTACCTAACAAGGCTTGTCATTTTGAGCGAACAGCAACAGAAGTTTTCGATTCTATCATGTTAACTATGGAAATGGAGACCTATGCAGCGCCTCATCTACAACGCAATCAACAGAGAGTATCTTAGAGCCATGATGTCATACTTTCTATACTGGCAAGGAAGGACACTGATCCGATCCCTTTCTTCAAAAGGATGGAACTTACATAGACAGTTTCCTCCTCTTGGTGACACCATCCGTAACATCTATGATGCTGCCTGTGCTTCCAACAGGAATCCGTGGAGGATCAGTGACAACCAAAGCACACAAGAGAGATCCAAAGTGTCAGTTGCACAAGAGGAATCTTCTGTCAAGACCACACCTTCCATGTGATCAAGAACTACAGCAAGAAGTCTTGGTGCTGTTGCTGTTTGGATGCTGCCTACTGAACGGAGAGATTGACTCTGCTGTTCTTGTTCCCACCACCAAAACAATCCACTTTCTCCATATGCTGCCATGCAGCTAGCAAGAAGGAGCCACTTCAACCCAGCTGCCATGTACAGCGACACCTGGCCCCACAGGATGACTATTGGGAGCTGCTCTTTCCAGGTATCGAGTGGAGACTTGGCCTGTTTATTATGAGAAGAGAATCCTGTCAACTTTGAGGAAAGCACACATTGATTACTCTCAAGCACTAGACAGACCTCTTGATTGCTTTATTGTACTCACCAGATGACTATTAGAAACTTCTCCATGCATTAAACATGTCCTCTTGTCCACCAATGGAAGGCATACTCCATGGAAGAGATCTCAGATATGCAAGCCTC